GGTTTCCCTCAGAGGCTAGTGCCCCCAAGTTGACTAGATTTCCGATCCCAATGGGAATTCTTCCACGTATCTGGTTACGACCAAATACCAGCAGGTTGAGCTCTGTCGAGAGATTGCTGATGGATTCAGGTAGCACTCCTCCAAAATTATTGCCACTAACATCAAACTCCGTTAATTTGGTGCAATTAACTAGAGAAGAGATGAAATCCAAGTCACCTTCCTCATCATTTCCAAGATGGTTATTGGTAAGTGATAACAAGTACAAATTTGACAGGCGTGCCAGACTAGGCACTTTTCCAGTAAACTCATTGAATGAGATAGAAAACTGTGAAAGGTTTGAGGCATTGGAGATTGAAGTTGGTATCGGTCCACTGAATTGGTTGCCCCAGAAATAAAAGATTTCAAGGTTTGGAAATATAGTTTGGCCCAACCCAGAGGGAAGAGTTCCATGCAATTTGTTGTCAAGCACAGAAATGAGTGTAATTGATGAGAGGTTGTAAATCGAGGGAGGGATGGTACCATTCAAATGATTTTGACCCACTGAAAGATATGTTAGTCTTTTCAACTGGCCAAGGCTATTTGGAATATCTCCATGCAGATTATTTTCTTCCACAGATAACACATGGAGAGAAGAAAGATTTCCAAAAGAAGGTGGGATTGCCCCACTTAAATTGTTTTTGCTTAAAGCAAGTACCTGAAGCTTGGACAAGGATTCAATTTCAATTGGAAGTTTGCTCCTAAGATGGTTTCCAGCTATGTGAAGTACTTGGAGGTTAGAGCAACGTGATATGTTGAATGGAATATCACCACTGAAGGAGTTGTTACCAAGGCGTAGTTGTTGCAGACGGAACAAACGACCAACTTCTTGAGGGATGGTGTTGTTGAAGTTGTTGTTTTGGAGGTTTAAAATTCTGAGAAAGCTCAAGTTTCCAATGTGGGGAGGTAGCTGACCATTCAGCTGGCTTGATTCAAGGTCCAGCACGGTGACTCTCTGGTGTCTGCGGCGACAAGCAATGCCTTGCCACTGACAGAAGTGGAGGGATTCATTCCAGGAGCTAAGAATGCCCAGTGGGTCATTCACGATTTCAGCTTTAAATGCAAGCAAGGACTGTCTATCCGTCTCATTCCCTCCTAGACGTAAGGATGATGAAGTGATCATCAGGAGAAACAGTTGCATGATAATAGAACAGATGCTAATAATGATACCCGAGAACCCCATGTGTACGCGCTGTGAAATAAAGCTCGAGTTGTGAACCAGAGAGGCTGAGTTTTTACAAGAAAAAAAAAACTTGCAAAAAATCTAGCCTTAGTTCTTCCTATTTATTTGGGTTGTACTTGGTTTTGTTCCCCCATGTTTTTTATATTATTCGGTTATCGTCGAGGTCTCAATGACAAGAATTGTCTGTGGAAGCCGGCTGTTTTGTTCCATATGTTTGGATTTTAAGGCCAAATGGCTCAAAGACTTGAAATAAATTGTCATAGTTATCGCTTGTTCTGGATTAATTAGAAATTTAGATACAAAAAACAAGTAAAATAAACATCAACCCAAATAAATGTGACCACAAAGTCAACAACAAACACAATTATTTGAGCATTGATTCTCAACTGTAAAAATAACAACTTTTTTTTTACGTTGAAATGGTAATAACAAGGTGTTACTTAATACATTAGGCCGTGATCAGCTGCAGCAATCAGCATTGCTGATGTCCGGCTGGTCACTCTATCGGGCTTCAAGGAGTCAAGGAGTCATATTTCTACACTTACTATTATTCTAGTTACTTAAGTCTTCCAACAAAGCTAATTATACTTTGTACTAGGTGCTATTAGGCTGTGATCATATGCGCACTAGGCGTCCTGGTTCAAATTATCACAGCCCTTCGTCTTGCAACGAAAATCAAACGCTCTTGTGCTAGTTTTTAATCATATTTCTTAAAGATAAATCTGCATATGTCAGCGCCCACACGTTGGAGACTAAACTAGCCCTCTGAAATCGCTCTCAATCTTTCGATAGCACTAGAAGAAAAAAATTCTAGAAACGACTTCAAAACCTATGAAAACTTAAGATTGTTATTAGTTTTGTTGGACTCAGTCATGGATGCAGGACTTTACTTGCGGTAATGCAAATACGAAAAATTACATATTTTAATAAGAACATTAAACATACAAAAAATCTAGCCTCTTTCCCTCCTAGACGTAAGGAGGATGGATTGACCATCAGGAGAAACAGCTGCATGAGAATAGATCAAATGCTAATATTGATACACGAGAACCCCATGTATGCGCGCATCAGAATAAAGCTCGAGTTACCAGAGGCTGAGAAACTTGCAGAAAATCTAGCCTTAGTTCTTCCTACTTATTTGGGTTGTACTTGGTCTGGTTACCCCTTGCTTTTAATTATATTCGGTTATTTTCGGGGTCTCGGTGACAAGAACCACCCGTGTAAGCTGGCTGTTTTGTTCTCTCTGGATTTTCAGGCCAAATGGCGCAAAGACTAGTCATGCGGGATCCGGCATAACTTGCTCTCAACCGGCCTGGAGGTCAAAGAAAAGACAACGGTAAACTGATCATATACGTTCGAAAGAGAGATCTTCGGTTATTTCTTGGGCAACATTGTATTGGGCTGAACTAATGAAAGCTCAATGGGCCGGCCTAAGCCCAACTCAAAGCCCGTGGATATTTCCCTTGCGTCGTTTTCGCGCTCGGCAGTTAAGAGCCACGGACAGAGACGGTGAGAGAGACGTTTCTTGCGTGTCAGTACATTTGACTCGATCATGGCCTCGTTCACTCAGCCCGAAGCTGACTCAGTCCCGACCACCGTGTCAACTCGCCCGTTCGACGACAACGGTAAACTGATCATGTATGTTCGAAAGAGAAACTGGAAGTCTCTGTAGATCTTTTGGAATCTGTCCTGATAAGTTGTTTAGAGAAACTGGAAGTCTCTGTATGATTCCTTGAAAGAGATTTCCTTGCTGGTAAAGAAACTCATGGCTCAGACAATCTCCAATACTTTTTGGAATTTCTCCAGTTAGATTGTTTCCAGAGACGTCGAGCGCATTGACATTCTTTAGCTTACTCACCCTCACAGGCAGACTCCCAGTCAGTGAATTATGTGATGAATTCATGAATTATATCTCCACTAAGGCTATTGTCTGAGATGTCCATATACTGCAAATTTATGCAGTTTCGATGCTCGGGGGAATGCTTCCTTCTAATTTATTTTCTAATAAGTAGAGTAGAAACATTTGAGTGAGGTTTCCTGTGGAAGAAGGGATCTGTCCTGATAATCTATTTCCATCTAAAGCCAGTATTTGCAGCTGTCGGAACTTCCCGAAAAAAGTAGGAAAGGTCAGCCTGCATGCCTAAGACTTATCGAATTGTTGAGGTTTTCTAATGCTGCAGGAATATTTCCAGATATTTGATTGACTCCGAGGTAGAGTTTAGTGAGTTGGGTTGAAAGATTGGCCACAGAGTTGGGTAAAACACCTCCAAAATGACCACTGACAGAGTTGTTTACAAGGCGTAGTTGTTGCAGCTGGAACAAACGACCAATTTCTGGAGAGATGGTGTGGCTGAAGTTATTGTTTTGGAGGTTGAAGCCTCAGAAAGCTCAAGTTTCCAATGTGGGAGGACAGAGCCTTCCAATCGGCTTGATTGCAGGTTGAGCAGCGTAACTCTCGTGTCTGTCACCGCAAGTAAGGCCTGGCCACTGACAGAAGTGGAGGGATGCATTCCAGGAGCTAAGGACGGCCATGCGATCAATCACAATTTCAGCTTTAGAGGCAAGCAAGGACAGCCTCTCCACCTCATCTCCTCCTGGACGTGAGCAGGGGGCAGAGGGAAAGGGAAAGAGTCGTATGAAAATAAACCTAGTACTAAGGAGGATGGGAACTCCATCAAGGAGGCCGCAAATGAAAGCTTAAGTTTTGAAGCAGAAGTACATATACATGAACAGAAACAAAACATTAATTGCAGCAAATGTAGGTCTTGATGAAAGACATTGTAGGTTGACGCAAAGACTTTGAAAGTTGAAGAGCAGACAGGAGTAAACTCTGGAGTCCAAAATGGTTACTCAAAGACTTTGGAAATGTCGTGGGTCTCATTGTCACCGCCTTCATGACTCATACTAATTTTTAGATATCATAATCTGTTAGAATATTAATTATAATTTGAATGAAAATTATTCGGTGGGAACAGTGGGGCCTCCACATTCTTAACAAAACTCTAATCATTAAGATGATTGCTAACCGCATGATCTGCATTAACAGGCAGGATTACAGTTTTGGAAAGAATCCGGAGAGAGAGATTCGGGGAGAATCTGGACCCATGAAATGTTACAGGACCTTTCGGCTTGGCACATAACTCTTCTAGTGTTAATTGCTGTGAGGAAAATGTTACATGTTGGTTGAGCTGAACCCTTTTCATTGGAAAGGTATACACAAGGCAAAACGTAGCTTTTGGCTGAACTCTACTTCAACAATTACCTTTCCTCCTCCTCACACGGCGATGCAGGAATTCTGGTGATTAAATTACGCAAGGCAGAGTGAAGTATCAAAATGCAGGTTATGAGTTGGCAGGAAGTACAATTCTTTGTTAAACATCATGGCCAAGGGTTCCGGGTTGCCAGACAATCAGTTGAATTCTTCACACCATGAATGAAGAGCAGAAAGAAATTATGCAGCAAACAGCCGAGAATATGACTATAAATTATGCTCATTCATACTAGTAAGAATATATGTTAATCTTGTATTTGTGTTCACACTTCAAATCCTTTGAAAGTGTTCTTACTGTTAACGCTTGCACAGAGGGCAAATAGATGACACGGTCTGTTGCTGTCGCAGTTGACTGGCGGTCGAAGAAAAGAAAAAGGAGAAAGTGATGATGCATGTTGGAAAGAAATAAAGAAACAAAAAATGCAACTAAGAAGTTCAATTTTGAGTTGATAATTGTTACTTTTTGTTTCTGATTTTATTTGATGCTTACAATATTGTTCATGTCTGCAATTCTGCAAAGGTAACTCAGAGTCAAGAAAGCTTATGAAATAGGCCCGAATCCTTGATTCAGTGCTCGAACAAACTAAGTTGGATTGCATGCTGCTTAGGCCGTGATCATATGATTTCTAGGAATCCAGGTTCCAGTTAGTACATCCCTTGCTAGGCATAGTCCGTCTACAACATGTCCAATATCCATCCGCTCTCTCGGCAAATCTGCAGAACAAGCAACTCCTATCCTGGCCATGATAACCAAGCACTTCCTAACTCTTTGCCTTTGATCATCTTGGACCTGATTCCTATTGCTTGAGCCATTACTACGAGTGCTGCTTTCTTTTATTTGAAGAAGCACTGGATCACATATTTCTTCTACAAGTTCAGGCAAAGCTATCTGAACGAACTTGTGCAGGTTCAGACCATCTTTGAACATTTCATCTGTAGGCCTCTTTCCAGTAAGCATCTCCAACAACAGGATTCCGTAGCTATACACATCACCATATGTTGAAACCTCGTTTCCCATTCCATACTCTACAGGTTTCCGTACAGAAGATAAAGTTAAAAATTGAAATAAAAAGAGAATTGTTCTCTTGTACATGTTAGAAAGAGGTTGAAACAACAATCCAACTTACCGGGGGCAATATAGCCTATGGAACCGTTAATGACATTTGCAGTGCTTCTGTGCGAAGGAAGTGAACATGAAGCATCTGGGAGGTACCTTGCTAAACCAAAATCAGCAACGCGAGCAGTCATGTCGCCTTCCAAGAGAACGATGCTGGGTTTCAAATCACAATGAATTATTGGAACGTGAGAGTGGTTGTGCAAATAATTTAGAGCATTAGCCACGTCGATGGCAATGTTTACCCTCTGAATAAGGTTCAAATGGCCCTGCACGATGGGGGCCCCAGGTAGCCTATGAGCTGAAAAATGCAGCCACTCTTCAAGATTTCCATTCACCATGAATTCATATATCAAAGCTTTGAAATCATTTCCTTGAAAATCGATACTTGAACACACGGTCAGTAGCTTGACAAGATTCCGGTGCTTAATGTTTTTCAAGGCTTCACATTCAGCTGTAAAACTTTCTCTTGAACCTTGAACATTAAGCACTTTAACTGCAACAATTCTTTCTTCCTGATTGAGAATTCCCCTGTACACAGACCCGAAGCTACCAGCACCAATCAAATTCCGAGAAGAAAACCCATTTGTCGCTTTGAGGAGATCACCGTATGAAACTTTCAAGAGTGAAACATCCCATGATGGTCCTGAAGTTGTCTTCGTTCTTGATTTTCTTGATAGATAAAGAAGTACACAGCGCAATGATTGTCTTGATGGATAAAGAAGCACAAAGCACAACAGGAAGACAACTCCAATAGCACTCCCACAGGCAATTGAGATAAGTACTTTTCGCCATGGAAATATTTCTTGCTTAGGTTTTTCGTCAGATTTTTTGGAGATGCATGGTGGCAACACTAGCTGAGATATACCTCCACATAGCCGTTTATTTCCAATAATAGAAAATGAAGTTGAATTCTGGAAAACTCCTTTCATTGGTACTGCACCTTCTAAATCATTGAATGATAGGTTCAAGTTCCGCAAGACGCGGAAACTCCCTAAATAGTTTGGAATTCTTCCAGTTAAGAAGTTGCGAGAAAGGTCAAAGTCTTCAACTCCTCTCAAAGAACTCCAAGCGTCAGGAATGGTCCCTTGCAAAAAATTTCCTTCCAAATGCAAACTTTCCAAACTTATGCAGTTTCCTATTGAGCTTGGAATCTCACCAGATAATTTGTTATCAGATAGATCCAAGTAAGCAAGCTGCAACAAAAGACCTACTCTAAATGGAATGGAATGAGTAAAATAGTTGTGGGACAGATCCAAAAACTGTGACAGGGATGATAAACTGATGACTTCATCTGGAATGGGACCACTAAGATTATTTTGAGAAAGACTCAAAGACTGCAAATTCCTGCATTCACCGAGACTGAGCGGTATGCTTCCTTGTAAGTTGTTTGACATGAGCAGCAATCTGCCTAACGAAGTTAGATTGCCTAGCAAAACTAGGATAGTACCGAACAACTCATTGTGATTCAATGACAGACTAAAAATTTTATTCAGTTTACATATTGAGATTGGTATAGGGCCCCTCAATTGGTTTACCTCAAAGCCTAGTATCCCCAAGTTGATGAGATTTCCAATTCCTACAGGAATGCTTCCGCGTATCTGATTCCCTCCCAATCTCATTACCTCGAGCTTTGTTGAGAGGTTGCTGAGAGATTCAGGTAGCACTCCTCCAAAATTATTGCCACTGATATCCAAACGCTCTAAGTTGGTGCAATTAACCAGAGAAGAAAGGAAGTCCAAGTCACCTTCCTCATTATTTCCAAGATTGTTAGCATCCATTTCTACCCGGAACAGATTGGACATCCTTGCCAGATTAGGCACTCTTCCAGTAAAATTATTGGCTGAGATACCAAATAATGCAAGGTTGGATGCATTGGAGAGTGAAACTGGTATTTGTCCACTGAATCGGTTGAAATGAAAAGAAAAGTCTTCGAGGTTTGGAAATACAGTGTGGCCCAAGCCAGGGGGAAGAGTTCCATGAAGTAGGTTTTCAAGCACCGAGATGACTGTAATAGAAGAGAGGTTGTACATGGAGGGAGGGATGGTACCATTCAAAATATTGGAACCCAAAACAAGGTATTTTAAGTTATTCAACTGGCCAAGGCTATCTGGAATACCTCCCCGCAGAAAATTTTGTCGCACAGATAGCATCTGAAGAGAAGAAAGATTTCCCAAAGAAGGTGGGATTTCCCCACTGAATTTATTACTTCCTAAATCAAGGTATTTTAAGCTATTCAACCGGCCAAGGCTATTTGGAATACCTCCCAGCAGATTATTTTGTTGAAAAGATAGCATCTGAAGAGAAGAAAGATTTCCCAAAGAAGGTGGGATTGCCCCACTTAAATTATTACTTCTTAAATCAAGGTATTTTAAGCTATTCAACTGGCCAAGGCTATTTGGAATACCTCCCTGCAGATAATTTTGTTGAAAAGATAGCATCTGAAGAGAAGAAAGATTTTCCAAAGAAGGTGGGATCTCCCCACTTAAATAATTACTTCCTAAATTAAGTACCTGAAGGTTGGACAAGAAGCCGATTTCAATATGAATCTTGACACCAAGAAAGTTATCGCCTAAGTCAAGGTAGCGGAGGTTAGAGCAACGTGATATGTTGACCGGAATATCACCCTCGAAGGAATTTCTGTTAAGGCGTAATTGTTGCAGCCGGAACAAACGACCGATTTCTGGAGGGATGATGTTGTTGAAGCTATTGTTTTGGAGGTTTAACGTCCTGAGAAAGCTCAAGTTTCCAATGTGGGGAGATAGCTGACCATTCAGCCGGCTTGATTGGAGGTCCAGCACAGTGGCTCTCTGGTGTCTGCGGCCACAAGCAATGCCTTGCCACTGACAGAAGTGGAGGGATTCATTCCAGGAGCTAAGAATGCCCAGTGGGTCGTTCACGATTTCGGCTTTAAATGCAAGCAAGGACTGTCTATCTGTCTCATTCCCCCTTAGATGTAACGAGGATGAAGTGACCATCAGGAGAACCAGTTGCATGGTAATAGACCAGATGCTTGTAATGATACCTGAGAACCCCATATATGTGCGCTACGAAATAAAGCTCTGAGTTATGAACCAGAGAGGCTGAGTTTTTACAAGAAAAAAAACTTGCATAAAATCTAGCCTTAGTTCTTCCTATTTATTTGGGTTGTACTTGGTTCTGTTCCCGCTTGTTTTTTATATTATTCGGTTGGTGTCGGGGTTTCATTGACAAGAACTGTCTGTGTAAGCCGGCAGTTTTGTTCTATATGTATGGATTTTAAGGCCAAATGGCACAAGACAGATCTAGATTAATTAGAAATTTAGATATAAAAAAACAAGGAAAATAAAGATCAACCCAAATAAATGTGACCACAAAGTGATCGAGGTCAAGTGACAAGAACTGCCTGTGTAAGCCGGCTGTTTTTTTCTCCCTGGATTTTCAGGCCGAATGGCGCAAGGACCAGTCAAAGAAAGGACAACGGTAAACTGATTATGTATGTTCCAAAGAGAGATCTTCGGTTATTTCTTGGGCAACATTGTATTGGGCTGGACTAATGAAAGCCCAATGGGCTGGCCTAAGCCCAACTCAAAGCCCGCGGATATTTCTCCTGCGTAGTTTTTGCCTCTGCAAGCATTTCGCTCGGCAGTTTCTTGCGTGTCAGTACATTTGACTCGATCATGGCCTCGTTCGCTCAGCCCGAAGACGACTCCGTCCCGACCACCGTGTCAACTCGCCCGTTCGACGACGACGGTTACCTGGGTTATGACCCCCGACTCCCCTCCCAGCGATTCGACTCCTTCGTCGACACCGAGTCGCTCAAGGACTCCGCCACCGATTCCCCAATCTTCCACGGCTCCGCCGTAGGCGATGCTTTCGCCACTCAGCCTGCGTCGGAGGCCTTTTCTCCTCAGTCGATCTACGCCGAATCGAATGGACAGGGCTTTGATGGAGGTTTTGGCGGGTCCGACGATCCGATTTTGCCGCCTCCGTCGGAGATGCTGCCTGAGGAAGGCTTCGCTCTCAGAGAATGGAGGAGGTAGGGTTTCGAATTTCGATTGTTTGCGATTGAATAAATAGTTCTGTATAGCAATTAAATTTTGACTCGTTTGTGCAATTCGGTTGAAAGTTCTTGGTTTTGATTTGGTTTGATCTTTCTGTTGCTCCAAAAATTGCATGCCTAGTGAGCAGTGATTATATTTCTGATATCAACTAGTTAAATTGAATGTTTATCAAAAAAAATATATATAGACTTGTTGAAATCTTTATGAATTTAACATGCCGATTGTTTGTATAAGAATGTGGGGCTCAATTCGAAGCAGAAAAGATTCGTGATTGTTGTCAATGTGTGGTTATTGACTATCAGAAAATGGTTTTATGTTTGCATAGAAGGTGGTGGAAAAATAAATGGTTGAATTCTGTGAGGTTGTAAGGGAGTTTTCGTAATCCGAACTCTTGTGACATTCAGGCAGAATGCAATTCAGCTCGAGGAGAAGGAAAGGCGGGAAAAGGAGTTGTTGGTTCAGATAATCGAGGAAGCAGATGAATTCAAGGTGGGATTCTACCAGAAGAGGAAGATCACTACTGAAAACAACAAGGCTGCTAACAGGGAAAGGGAGAAGGTTGGATCGAATTAAATTTTCCGAAAAATATGATTAGCGCTATTTTTTGTTTTTAATAAGATCTTCTGAGTAATAATGTGGATGTCTAACCTCACTGCCTTAATTTTAAGTTTGGCATGCATATTAAGATCCTTTGAGCTGATACTGATAGTGTATTTATTTCATTCATTCTTGAATTGCTGGTTCGTTGAATAATTGATCGAAATTGGTGTCAAAGAAGAGCCACAAATTGTTGACACATAGCTCCCCACATCCACTCGACTTGGTTTTTCATAAATTTTACCGCAAGATCATAACTTTTATACCCTCCCTCTACTCGGACTGAACGTATCTGAATTCAATTATGTGATGGTCACAACTGTTTAGGATTTGCTACATAAATCACAACTGCAACATTTCCCCGTTAAGCTTCATTGTATAGCAAATATTTACTAATACTGGATGTTTGGTCGGGTTAATGATTTCTAAAATCTAGTATTTTTTGGCTAAACATTTTGGAATTGAACTCTGTCATACCATTTTGCTTTTCTTCGCCTTTAATATCCATATCAATTTCTCTGGCATCTAAGGTATGAAGACGCAGAGAGTTAATATGCATTCCTAACATATGTTTTGAACTTGTATGTTTGGCGTTTCTCAGCTGTTCCTGGCTAATCAAGAGAAGTTTCATGCTGAGGTAGACAAGAACTACTGGAAGGCAATTGCTGACCTCATTCCAAATGAGGTGCCGGCTATAGAGAAGAAGAGAGGGAAGAAGGATCAGGAAAAGAAGCCATCCATTCTCGTTGTCCAAGGACCAAAGCCCGGAAAGCCAACCGAGCTTTCAAGGATGAGGCAGATACTTTTAAAGTTGAAGCACAATACCCCTCCCCACCTTAAGCCATCACCACCGGCCCCAGCTCCCGCCAAGGATGCAAAACCGAGTACTTCTGCTCCTCCCAAGGCAGCAATTGCCGCAGCTACCCCCGAGGCTGTAGTTGCTTCTTCGTAATTTGCCCGGCGTTCTTTGTTAGGCTTATTTCGTAGTAACCAAGTACTTCCATTACAAGGCTGTGGAGTTTTTCTTGTTTAGTTGAACAATTTCCTGAGGGCTTATCCCGTTCTTAAATTTTGTGTTTCATGTGTACAAATGCGTGTCAGAAGGGAACTAGGACCCCTCCAGATTTTATTATAATGTTTTTTGGGTGCATGGTGGCAATAGTCTCTCAACTTTGGCCCATGTTTAGTACCATATTAGTTTTTTCTGCCCTCCAACTTAACTCTGCGTTGCATGATTGCTCTTTCTGTGAAATTTGTCTTTTTATTCGTCAGATTTAAGGGGTGGTATTTTCATACCAAAAAAAATCTAATCTATATATATATATATAATTAATTAAAAACACTTCTCCTTAAGGTTAAGGATTTCCTCCTCAAAGTACATGGTAGTTTATTTACAAAATTTTGTGTATATGATCATAACTGTTTCTTATAAATCATTATGTAATTCTCAGCAAAAAAGAAAAAAGAAAAAAAAAAAGAAAGAATTAAAACTAGGGGTTTTTTGAAATGGGTTCAAAGTAACTAAAAATTGGACCTATTTCAAAAGTCATAAGTCACTAAAAATTGGACCTATTTTAAAAGGTAGTCTATAAAATTGAACCTATTTCAAATTTTCCCTTAAAACTAAGGTCATTTATGTGACATCCCACATCGTCTACGGAAGTGATCCTTATATGTATATTCTCATCTCTACCTAGCACGAGGCCTTTTGGGAGCTCATTGGCTTCGGGTTACGTAAGAACTCCGAAGTTAAGCGAGAAGGGGGCTAGAGCAATCCCATGATGGGTGATCCACTGGGAAGTTGCTCGTGAGTTCCCAAAAACAAAACCGTGAGGGAATGGTAAGCCCAAAGCGGACAATATCGTGCTACGGTGGTGGAGCGGGTCCGGGAAGTGATCCGTCCTGGGCCGGGATGTGACAATTTGGTATCAGAGCCTAACCCTGGCCGTGGTGTGCCGACGAGGACGTCGGGCCCCTAAGGGGGGTGGATTGTGACATCCCACATCGCCCAGGGAAGTGATCCTTATATGTATATTCTCATCTCTACCTAGCATGAGGCCTTTTAGGAGCTCATTGGCTTCGGGTTTCGTAGGAACTCCGAAGTTAAGCGAGAAGGGGGCTAGAGCAATGCCATGATGGGTGACCCACTGGGAAGTTGCTCGTGAATTCCCAAAAACAAAACCGTGAAGGAATGGTAAACCCAAAGTAGATAATATCGTCTACGATGGTGGAGCGGGCCCGGAAAGTGATCCGCCCTGGACCGGGATGTGACAATTTAGCCAATTCTTAAAGAGTTCCATTATAAGCATAAAAGTTTGTGAATATGTCACGAGGTTAATTAAGGAGGAATTCATCCTCAATCCTTGAGAAGCTAAGTCTTTCTTTTTGAAAAATTCTTCTTCTAATTTTTCAACCAGTTATGATGTGAACCTTTAGGGATAATTCATCAAATTTCTTAGATCCAAACTAAAATAATAACATCCCTTTCATATGATTTCCTAATACATATAGATATATTGACTTTACATTTCAAAAATTCTCTCCGATCCCGAACTATTTGAAAATAGTTATAATTCATTTATCATGTTTACACATACATAAGAGCTTATGCCCTATTTTTTGAATGAAATTTCTATTTTATCTCTCAACTTAACGGAAAAGCTGATGAAGTTAGCAAAAATGACTACTGGTACAAAAAATGACATAGTTCGAGAACGGAAGAAACTATTAGTAAAGTTCAAGGATGAAAACTAAACTCGTGAAATAAACTGTTCTGAAAATACATACAAGTTAATATTCTAGACACCTAATGGTTGAAATAATCATTCAAATCACATATATAATTTGCATCCACCTACTTTCAAACATGATATTCTGCAATGGCGTTGAACTTCTGGACCGACGAACCTTCAAGGCTTCAAGACCGTTAGGATTGATCGTAATAGTTTAAATGATCTCTCGGGGTCTCACATACAGCCGTCTACGTGGTATCATGCTAATGAATAGATAATAGTTTATATGATTTCTCGGGTGCTATCATGTTATTGGATAAATGTTAGTCATATTGCTTTGAAAAAAATATTGGTCATACGTTAGGCTTAAAAAACGCTACATCTGCAAGACTGTGCTAGGAAAGTAAATCTCATTTCGGGAATTAAAATCTTGCATAATAATTTTGTGTTGGCCCGGACACTCATATTTTAATGGAATGTCACATATAGCGTATTTTGACGGATTCCTGTTTGGAGCATGCATCAGGTCAAGAAAGCAACAGGACACAAGCAACGTTGTTGCTAGTTATGTATTAATCATACCTAATCATATCTTCGACACACTTCCAAATTAGAGCAAACAATAGAGTCAAATTAAAGAGAAATTAGACAAGTAATCTAATGTAATTAAATTAATAATCTAGATTATCCCCATAAGTAAATTCAAACATTAAGCAGTTTTGTCTGACTTTTGACCCCAAAAAAAAAAAAAAAAAGCAGTTTTGTTTGAATTTTTTGTACTCGTTTGTTACAACTTACATGTTATAATTGTTGGTTGCAGGTTTTCTTCTCCTTTTTCTTTAACGGATAACTCTGGCTCTGCTTCAAAATTTGAGTTTTAATGGAGTTCTCAAGTATCCATATTAGCATGTGGTTTATATTCGTGCAACTCTTTCTCTTTAGCTCCAACTCCACCTCCTCGTCCGGTCTACCAGGAAATGAGGTGGATAGGCTGTCGTTGCTTGCCTTTAAAGCTGAAATCGTGAACGATACACGAGGCATCCTTAGCTCCTGGAATGAATCCCTCGACTTCTGCGAGTGGCGAGGCATTACTTGCGGGCGAAGGCACCGTAGAGTCACGGTAATGGACCTCCGATCATCCGCGCTGGAAGGTCAGCTGTCCCCCAACATTGGAAACTTGAGCTTCCTCAGGACACTGCGCCTTGAAAACAATAGCTTCGGCCACACCATTCCTTCAGAAATTGGTCGTTTGTTCCGCCTGCAACGAATACGCCTTCACAACAACTCCTTCAACGGCGCTATTCCATCCAACATATCACGTTGCTCCAACCTCCAATACCTTCTCTTATATGGAAACAATCTTAGTGGCAAACTTCCGACTGAAATTGCCTCATTGTCCAAGCTTCGGGTACTTGATTTAGGAAGCAACAATTTTAGTGGGCAAATCCCGCCTTCTTTCGGAAATCTTTCTTCTCTCGAGAAGCTTTATCTGGATCACAATAATCTGCATGGAGGTATTCCAAATAGCCTTGGCCAGTTGAAGAACTTAGCATATCTTGTATTGGGTACAAATAATTTGAATGGTACCATACCTCCTTCAATATACAACCTCTCTTCGATCACATATTTTTCCGTGCTTATAAACCAACTTCGCGGAACCCTTCCTCCTAGCTTGGGCCACACTATATTTCCAAACATCAAAAAGTTTTATTGCCATATGAACCAATTCAGTGGACCGACACCAGTTTCAGTCGCCAATGCCTCAAACCTTATGCGATTTGTGATCTTAGACAACAAGTTTACAGGCAAGGTGCCTAGACTGGCAGGCATGTCGAATTTGGTCTGGTTAGGAATCTCGAATAACAGTCTTGGATATAACCAGGAAGGTGACTTGGATTTCCTCTCTTCTCTAGTTAATTGTACAAATCTACAAATTTTATTAATCAGTGACAATAATTTTGGAGGAGTGCTACCTGAGTCTCGGAAATCTCTCGACAATGGTCAAGCAAATGATATTCGGAAGGAATTGGATGCGCGGAAACATTCCTGTCAGTGTTGGAAATCTCTTCAACTTGGAGGTACTAGCCTTTGATGCAAACCTATTGACAGGAACTATACCAAGTTCAATAGGAAGACTGAATAAGTTGAATGCTTTGTATCTAAATTCGAATGGACTGTCAGGTACCATCCCATCTTCTCTAGGAAATCTAAGTTCATTAACAATATTGGTTCTCATGTCAAACAAGTTACAAGGCAACATACCGCGAAGTCTTGGAGAATGCGGGAAACTGCTACTTCTGGTTCTTTCAGAAAACAATCTTAGTGGTTCAATTCCAAAACAAGTTATTGGTTTATCATCCCTGTCACAAGGTTTGAATCTATCCGGTAACCAACTTACCGGATCCATCCCCGCAGAAGTAGGTAACTTGGTGCATCTTGATTCCTTGATTGTTTCTGACAACAGGTTATCTGGTGAGATTCCACGAAGCTTAGGGAGTTGTACAAGTTTGACAACTCTGTATCTGAGTGGAAACTCATTGCAGGGGACCATACCTGAATCCTTGAGCTCTTTGAGAGGGATTGAGAATTTCGACATATCTCGCAACAACTTGTCTGGCAGAATTCCCAACTATTTGGAGAGTTTTCGCGTCTTGCTGAATTTGAACCTCTCGTTTAATGATTTTGAAGGTGCATTACCAATGAAAGGAGTTTTTGAGAACACAAGTGCGCTTTCTGTCACGGGAAACTCACGGATTTGTGGAGGTATACCTTCTTTAAGATTGCCCAAATGCGCATCCAAGCAATCTAAGCAAGGTTTATCTTCTAGGCTGAAAATAATTATCTCAGTTGTTTGTGGGATTGTTGGATTGAGTTTTAGCGATTTTGTTTGTGATTCTTTACCGATCAAGAAAAGCAAGACCACTGAAGTCAACATCAGGATCATCATTGGGGGTTTCACTTTTGAAATTGTCCTACGGAGATCTCCTTAAAGCAACTGATGGGTTCTCCTCAGCCAATTTGATTGGTGCTGGTAGTTTTAGATCCGTATATAAGGGAATACTCGATCAGCATGAAGGAAGAGTTGTTGCAGTGAAAGTACTCAATCTTCAAACTTCAAGAGCCTCCAAAAGTTTCATTGCTGAATGTGAAGCTCTGAGAACCGTTAGGCACCGAAATCTTGTCAAGCTACTGACTGCCTGTTCAAGCATTGATTTTCAAGGGAATGACTTCAAAGCTTTGGTTTATGATTTCATGGTGAACGGAAGCCTCGAAGAATGGCTGCATAATTCAGCTCAACAGGGCGACAATCCAACCAATCTGCAGAAAAATTTGGATCTTATTCAGAGAGTAAACATTGCAATCAACATAGCAAGTGCTCTGGATTATTTGCACAACGGCTCTGACATGCCAATAGTTCATTGCGATTTAAAGCCGAGCAACATTCTCTTGGATGGTGACATGACTGGATGTGTTGGTGATTTTGGTTTGGCAAGGTTCCTCCCAGATGCTTCTCGTCCATTTTCTGCACAAGAAAGCTCTTCCAATGCAATAAAAGGCACCATAGGCTACACTGCCCCAGGTAAATTTTCCTGATATCTTTCTTCTAGCTTTAATTTTATGAAGTCACAGTCAAGACATAACTATGTTTTTCTGCATTAAATTATAGAGTACGGCAGTGGAACTGCAGTGTCAACATATGGTGACGTGTATAGCTTCGGAATCCTGTTACTGGAGATGTTAACAGGCAAGAGGCCGACTGATGACATGTTTAAAGATGGTCTGGACCTGCACAACTTTGTCTTGACGGCTCTGCCCGAACGTGTGAAAGAAATATGCGATCCCCGGCTCCTTCACACAGAAGAAAGTGGAATTACCACTGCCACGGACAACAGGGGCTATCTGGGCCAAGATGATCAAAGGCAAAGAGCTGACGAGTGCTTGATTTCCCTTGCAAGAATTGGAGTTGCTTGTTCTGCAGCAATGCCGCGAGAGCGAATGGACGCGAGCAATGTTGTAGCTGAATTATGTCGAACAAAGGATGTACTCGTTGGAACCAGAATGCCGAGAGAGCGTCCATGACCGCGCGGTGTTTGAGTTTGTTTAAGTCATGGATTTATGTAGTTACACAGACCTTGTATAATTTTATCACCAGCAGCTTTCCTGCTTCTGCGTACTGAACAATAGTGATTTCTAGTTACCTAATTATAAAGAGCCATAATTTTACAAGTTTTTCTTCTTTCTAACGCATAACTCAAAGATTTTCGAGTTTGCCGAGAACACGACGAGGTACATCAAGTGTAATACAATTGGTTATAAACTTGAAAAAAATTAAAATTCAACGAATTGTATTATGACACTTACTATACCGGACCATGACCAGCACACTAAAAAATCCCATTAATTGTATAATATCGTGTAGTGTTCAACCGCACATTCCGAACAATCTCTCATTATTCTGGCCCTTTTATGTTGTATTTACTCTGTTTATGTTGAGATTACGTGTAATATTTGAGTGGACCTAATATGCAAGGATTGTGGAACCGAACTATATACTTCATTGACTTTTGAAATTATATAATTCGAATATCCAAATTTCTCAAGGAAAATTGCAGCTTTCACTACGCTCCCAGAAGTAAACATTCTGGTTTTTCAACACAGTATTATCCGTAGAAAGCGAGCCACGAAAAGCTGTTCGGTACATATCCAGATTTGTTAATATTACAAATATCATGAAGCACAGAGGGGGAATTTCTGGTCAGGTCTCTCAGAAAATTGGTTTTCTTTTGACTGTCACGATTGATGGAACCGAAAATATAAAAACATGAGGTAGATTAGAGATGCAGTTTATGTGGGATGATGGTAGCTCCTCCAATCGATTACCTACCACGCACACTGGCAGGAGATCGACCACCTCTCTCACTGCCATTATCTTCTATTTCGCACCCATCTAAACAAAGGCCATTGTTGTTTACGCTAACTTCGGAGCTAGCATTACTGCTAGTGGCAAGAGGAGAATCTGAAACACTAATTGTTCTGCTTCGTGCAGGCCCCGATCTCACACTGTACATTGAGGAAGCAGGAATATTTGTCATCAACGGTCGTAAATTACCTGGAATGGATCGCCTTATGTCCTGCAACCAACAGTTGAATCAGGTTAACATCAAGTATAACAAACTTGAATAAAATGTTTTCTCTAAAGGAAATTAAATATTGACTGCGTAGCAAGCAAACTGGGAGGGAACGCGGGAAAGCCCTATGCGGGAAGACACCGGCTCATAAAATATGAGATACTTCTGCAGAGTTAGCATGCACAACTTTGCAGGCATTCTAAACTCAACTCATATGAAGATGTAAACTGACTCATAAAATGGAATAATATGCTTACCATGTGGCGTATAGCCATATCAAGGGATTTCTTTGAGAGTGATCTACCGAAGCCTGAGCTGTCTGGGGATGAAGCTGACTTGCCGGAGTGGTTACCAAGAGGAGAATGCTTATCCTCTTGCTTTGGTGGTGCCAGTTTCCGCATATTTATTACCCTCTCGACCATTTTTGTTCCCATTAAAACAGGGCTCACATTTTCATTAACTTTAGAATGTCCACGACTGAATGCAGGAACAGAGCTCCCACTGGTATGACTAATGCCATTGGGAGCCCGTCCTCTCGAAGGAGAGCATGATTGCCGTCTTGGCCTTACATTAGGACCAGGCTCAACGGAAGATGATCGAGAACTGGGTGCTCCAGGCCTACCTCTAGTGGCTGAAAGTGGTCTGTCAGGAAGTGTTGTCCTTAAATTTGGCGGGGCCTCGAGTGAGAAACCAGGCATTTCTGAGGGCTTCCATGGTCTGGACTTCACTGTTGGGGACGCACCACGTGATGGCACTGGATTTCTTGCTGCTGTAGGAGCTGGCTTGGAAACTGAAAGTGAGGACTTTGATGGAGGAGCTGATATACTAGGTGTAGGGGATGGCATGGTCGGTCGTCGAGTTGGTGTTGATGCTCTTGATGCAGATTTGGGTGGGGGTACAGTGGGTCTGGAAGTTGGTGTTGAAGATCTTGCAGTAGACCTTGACGGTGTAGAGGATCTTGAGGGAACTGTAGATTTGCAGGAGCTGTCGCTATCGCAGAGTGTCGATCTATTCGCAGGAGTTGTTGATCTCTTTGCAGGAGTTGTTGATCTATTTGCAGGAGTTGTTGATCTCTTTGCAGGAGTTGTCGATCTAGTTGTGGGAACCGTAGACTTAGGTGCAGAATTTATGGACTTATTTAACGGCAAGGTTGCTCGAGAAGTCGGTGTTGACGATCTTGAAGGTCTAGGTGCTGAAGGCAATGTGGGTCGTCCAGTTGGTGTTGCAGGTCTTGATCCTGGACCACCGGACGATGAAGGCCTCCGGGTCCCTGAACTTGAAGAACTTAGCCCAGGGGAAGAAGTTGTTTGTCTGGACACTAAGCTGCTCCTAGCAGCAGGCTCTGGCTGGGGGTTTGCTAACTATGACACAATGAAGAAATGACTTAAGTAATACTACATGAAACTCAAGCACAATTAGAATTTCAAACTCAAAAGTCATAAACTGAAAACCACCACATAATTTATCCTTTTTATAGAGACTGATAAAGGAGAGAAGCAGCATCTTCTATGAATCACTACAGTCTAGGCTCAATAGTTGTTGAATCTTTTCTAAGTTAGATGCTATAGATAAGTCGTTTTCTCTTAAATGCACTTTCTAAGTTAAGCAACGTAGAGTTTGAGAGATGAGAATGAATGTCAACAATTCAGATTTCATATAACTGCCAATTAAGCGCCATATACCGAGGATATCTTTTGCAACTTTTCTGCTTACTATGTAACCCTTGTTCTGATAGATTAACAGCACTCCAACATAACTATTACTTGGCAGAGAAAATAAGAGATTCCTCAAAATCAATTATCATAATGAAACGGGTGGCTTCTGCTTTAAAGAGGACTATCAACTCCCTTTCACATACTATAAATAAATTTCAACCCGATCAGATGCAGAAGAACTGCAACCCAGTTGAAAAGGAAATTCTTACTCTAGATTTGAGTGCAGTGGGACGAGCCTTTGGGGTTCCATGCTGACTCATTACGGTCTTATGTGATTCCAACTCCAATGAAGGAAAAAGAGGAGTCCCGGGTGGAGTTAAAAGCCTGAAAGGAGAATAAAATAATTAATACCAACTTAGACAAAACTTCTCAGTACCTAATAGCATCTACGCTAGACTGAAACTTAATATGCATTTTAAGAACAAACGCTGTACAGGCTTATTTCGTAAAAACACTTCGATTGCCATGCTTTCCTTTGTCAGAAATTTCTACCCCCTATGTTGCATAGGCATGCACAATTTATAATGCTAAAATATGCTATTAGAAGCAAAACAAAGGGGAGGCAGGCAGGGTTAGGCCCCCTTGAAAATTACCAACACACATGTAATCAGCAGAAATGCACTCCGCGGATTATATCAAGAGTGTATTATTATACTCTTGGACTTTATCCAGACAGTTTGCAATCCAAAATATTTCATAAGATACGCGTAACTGGAACAAAATCTTCAAACATCTTTAACATTTACGGATATGGTTAACCTGATTTAAAAGTTCCATAACACGCAGGACAAATTTCGGAATCATAAGCATACAAAGGTAAAACAAATTCTGGCATTACCAATCATAATCATTCTTGTCATTCTCAGAATTGAGGAAATCATCAGCGCCAGTCTTGCGTGGAGGTGCCGGCGTTGATGAGGAAATATTGAAAACGGGAGAAGTTCCGGGTTTCGCCCCTGCTATGTCAAAGTTACCATATCAGAAGCAACCTTAGTAATCAATATCAATGCATAAAATAAGAAACATTTCTAAACAAATTCAGCATCGAAATTCAGTTTAAACTATTTTAGCATCGATTCAAGCAAAAAAGCATATTACAGATTACGAATTCGGAATTCGAAATCCTCTACATTGCACTCGAAAATTAAAATCTTTATACCTAATGGTGAATCGAACTCTTCGGAGCTGTTGAGAAGAAGATCGTTCCGTTCCTTCTCGCGCTTCTTCATCTCTAGGAACAAAGCGAGCTCTTCTTCCTTCTCCTTCCTCACCGAGACTCTGAGCTGCTGCCTCTGCTTAATCATCGCTTGCATTTGCGAGTCCTGAGCCCTAAAACTCCGATTCATCGCTATAAACGCAAAGTCCACTGATAATTTTATAAAATCTAAAACTTAATTTCCAACCACCCGCTCAAGCAACCATTCTCAAAGAAAACGCCTCGCAGTCGTAGCCGAAATGAAGATCAACGGCGGTTAGATCTGAAACCGAGGCCAATCCGTGCACAAATTCGAAGGCTGCGTCGGCATTTCGGCCTCGTTTTCTTCCAATCGCCTCCAGAGCTCGTAGGAGTGTGAGAACACTGAGAAATATGAAATCTTGGAGAGTCCTCAGCTGTAAGGAACCGGAACCGCTATTGTTGAGGAACGGAGCTCTCGAGTGTAGCGGAAACTAGACGAGAAGAGAGATTGAGCTCGGAGGAACCGCCATTGTTACGAAACTGAGCTCGAGAGGCTGCGGAGGCGATGCAGGAGTTGCAGTGAGAAAGCTGGAAGATCGGAGATTTCACAGTGGAGATAGAGAGAGGGTGAGGGGGAAGAGGAGGAGTGGCATTGAATGGTAATTTAGGAGAGGTTTGGAGTCCGAAATCGGGAAAATGAAAGGACGTGCGGACCGTGCAGGTTTTGTTGTCTCTCTCACTTGAAGCCTACGTTTTCAGGTTGTGGGTTTTGGTGGGTAGATAATCACGATAATGCCCTCCTTTTTAATTTTTTTTTATTTTTTTTTCGAATTTTGGATTGGTTGTATATGCAGTTAAGCCCGTGTATTTTTGTGTAATTTTGATTTATGGCTTCGAGGATTTTCTTGGTTTGGTGAAGATGAATATTGTTTTGTTTTGTTTTCCTGTGAATCGTACTCCACCTACAAGTAGAAGAAGTCCCATCATGAGAGCAACTTAGATGAATCGCATAAACTATTATAATAGTGTTCTAATCTAATAATATAATGTTATGTGATAGTATTAGCGAGATTGTCTTACTTCTTAAATCTCTTTGTAATTTTCTATATTAGATTCATGCGAGTTTAAACGAATAGTTCGCGATACTGTTCACTTTAACTAAAAATCATATTTTTACACTAAAAAGTCAATCCTGGTACTATTCACTTTACCATTTATTTTGTCCTTATCATTAAAACTCAAAGTTTTCAAGCCTTTTTTATTAGTTTTCTTTAGATTCATTGTCTGGATTAGGTTAGTTGTATGATGATGATTAGGTTTACCCTAAACCCTAAATCTTGTAGATTAAGTTCGTTGAATTATAATTAATTTGTGTATTTGTACTCAGTATATATTGAATGTTTAACAATGAATGAACGACAATAAATCATTTTCTACAATTATTCTTACTTCACATATTATTATGTTACTAAATCAGAATGTCACAATGACGGTCTATCATGTCCATTTGGTTCCTCCTCGCCCAGCGCCCTTGTATTGTAGCTTTGGGTATGTGGTCATATCGGTGATCATCAGAGAATTCCTCTTGATTAGGTTTAATGCTATTGTAATTATGGAAATTTCAGTACTCACTTTAATTAAATTGAGAAGTTTCCCTTTATCTTTCTTTTCACTAATGTGCAAAAAAATGTTTTCTTTAGATACGTGTGACGGATTTGAATTTAAAATTTCTAAATTAATTCATATAGAGATATGAGTCTCAATCTCAAAGTAATGTATCTGCAATTGACGCGTGCTTGAGCGCATATCAAAAGGCTAGTAACATGTAGGGTAAATTATATTTTACCCCTCATGTTTGGGTGCAATTGCAACCTCATACAACATCTTTAAAACGTTTCAGTCACATAAATTGACTTATCATTTAATTGCAATCTCATATATCTGTAAGTCAAACCGTTAAATGATGATGTGGAAAATATAAAGTCCATATATTTTTATGACTTGGCAAATAAAATAACTAAATATTACAAATCAATTAAAAAAGAACTAAATTAAACAAAATGACCCCACTTATCTCTCTCTCACTCATTTCTCTCTCTAAAAATATCCAGCGTCAAAATCAATGGTTAAGCCACTTTTCATCTTCTTCTCCGAAAACCCGACGTACCCAGACGACTCAAACAGCGGCCTCACCATCGTTCCCCATTGATGTCAAACCACCACCATGACCCAATATTCCTCATGGAACAAAGCCCAAGTCTCTACTTGGTGATTTTCAAACCCCAAGCACTCAAATCGAAGAGCCCTTTCTTGGACCCGACTTCCCAAGGCAAAGTTGATAGTGTCATCCCCCTTCTTTCCCTAACCATTCTGACCAAAGCCCCCTTATCTTTACTGGAATCCGAAATCGTAGAGCCAACCGATTCAAAGACGCCAAATTTGATGCAGCGCTGAGATCTAAGCCGTCGGGGAGAAGGAAATCCTAGGCCACCACCTGCTGTCTTGAGTAGGTGTTCATCATTCATCTGCACCCGTTTCCCCCTTCGTTCGTCCCCCACCCTTGACGGCGGAATCGCGAATAGCAAGCCCTTGGAACTCCTCTATTAACAACAACAAAAATGTTTCCAATTTGGGATTGGACCCCCTTATTTCGAATCGCAACCCCTTCCATTTTTTTGCAGAATCGCAACCCTAAACCCTTTGCTGAAATAAAAACTATGCCTTTCTTTTGAATTATTTATTTTTCCTGTACCCCTGGTATTCTTTGAGCATCTATGGCCATTTGGCCGCTGGTAGTGGCGGCGGGCGGTGGTGCAACGAGGTCACCTGAGCAACTTCAGCAAGGTAGGCAGATCGACCACATCCCAAAAAATCCTTAAAGCCTGAAATCTGGAGGTAGCAGTGTGGTGTTGTTTTGTAGGCAGAATTGGGAGAGGCGGAGAGGAGAGTGAGGGTGGGCAGAGCCTTAGAGAAGAAGAGAGAGAGAGTAAGGAAATGGTGGGTTGGAGAAGAATGAGAAATGGGGATGGGCAACGGTTATGGCGAGCGGGTAACCGCGGTTATTGACCAATAACCATTTATGTTCATACCCTGCATAACCGTTTACCCGTTGGGTAATTGCTATAAACGGTTATACTCATACCCATAACCGTTTATAAATGGTTAACCATACCCATAACCGTGTACCAATTTAACCATAACTGTTTACTCATTTAATCATAACAATTTACCCGTTTACCTGTTTTTTAACTCGTTTATCCTTTTGTTACCCATTTATCCATTTTTCACCCGTCTACATTTTTTTTTTTTTTAACAACTTGAAAATTACAAAAGAAAATTTTGTTATAATTTTCGTTTTCTGACAATTAAACACTGTTATAAGTACAAGTTGTGGGTATGGAGTAGGGATGGGCAAAATACCCATAGGTTTGGGTAACGCTGTTACCCACCCATTTAAAGTTCACGGTTATGGTTATGGATAACCGTTTAGATGAACAAACGGTTATGTGTATAACCGTTTAGATGAACAAACGGTTATGGGTATAACCGTTTATCCGTGAAATTTAAATGGGCGGTTATGGGTATTACCAGCAGTTATAATAGGTGTCCATCAGTTATGGGTATTACCTGTGGTTATAATGTGTATTCATTTACCCATTTAATTTAATATATGTAAAATTTTAAAATAAATAAATAAAAATCCCAAATTTTCAATGTCTCAGCTAGAGTCTGCCTGGCGGAGAGATTGAAAATTTGGATATGGGTTTAAAAATAAAAGAAGAAATGGATATGGGTTTTTGAATCTGTCTCAAAGGGCATTTGTAAAATTTTCGACTCAGATTCTTCTCAGCATTTGCAGTGAGGATAGGCAGGCTCCATACCCACAACTTGTTTGTAAACTATTAAAAAAAAAAAGTTTAAAGACTTCCTTGTGGGTATGGAGCCTGCCTGTCCTCACTGCAAATACTGGGAAGAATTTGATTCGAAAGTTTTACAAATGCCCTATAAGATAGGTTCAAAAACCCATATCCATTTCTTCTTTTATTTTTAAACCCATATCCATATTTTCAATCTCTGGCAGACTTTGGCTGAGAGATTGAAAATTTGGGATGTTTATTTATCTATTTTAAATTTTTACATATATTAAATTAAATGGGTAAATGAATACATGTTATAACTGAGGATAATACCTATAACCGGTGGATACCCGTTATAACCGCTGATAATACCCATACCCGCCCATTTAAATTTCACGGATAAACGGTTATACTCATAATCGTTTGGTCGTCTAAACAGTTACCTATAACCATAACCGTGAACTTTAAATGGGCGGGTAACCGCAGTTACCCAAATCCATGGGTATTTTACCCATCCCTACTCCATACCCACAACTTGTTTGTAAACTATTAAAAAAAATAGTTTAAAGACTTGCTTGGGTGTAGCAGAAAAATATCGTTCGTATATTATTTCAATTATTGGAATTGTATGAGGACTTAAATGATAAAAATAAGGATATGCATGCTAAAATATACCTATAACGGTGTTTAATTGTCAGAAAACAAAAATTATGACAAATTTTTCTTTTGTAATTTTCAAGTTGTTAAAAAAAAAAAACATGTAGATGGGTGGAAAAATGGTAAATGGGTAAAAAAATGGATAAATGGGTAAACAGTTATGGTTAAATGGGTACACGATTATGGTTAAATAGGTACACAGTTATGGGTATGGTTAACCATTTATAAACGGTTATGGGTATGGGTATAACCGTTTATGCAATTACCCAACGGGTAAACGGTTATGCGGGTATGATCATAAACGGTTATGGGTAAATAACCACGGTTACCCGTCCGCCATAATCGTTGCCCATTCCCTAGTATGAAGCATGCCAGTCCTCACTGCAAATACTGAGAAGAATCCGGGTCGAAAGTTTTACAAATGCCCTCTGAGACAGGTTCAAAAACCCATATCCATTTCTGCTTTTATTTTTAAACCCATATCCAAATTTTCAATCTCTCTGCCAGGCAGAATATGGCTGGGAGATTGAAAATTTGGGGTTTTTAATTTTTTTTTTTTTAAATTTTACATATGTTGAATTAAATGAGTAAATAGATACCTGTTATAACCGTGGTTAATACCTATAATCGATGAATACTTGTTATAATCGCGGATAATACCCATAACCGCCCATTTAAATTTCACGAATAAACGGTTATACTCATAACCGTTTGTTCGTCTAAATAATTACCCATAACCATAACCGTGAACTTTAAATTGAGTGATAACCGCAGTTATCTAAATCTATGAGTATTTTGCTCATCCCTAGAGAGAACCCTTCTATAATTAAAAATTATTTTATTAATTTTTAATCCACGTGTCACATGTATATGGAGCCCGTGAGATCCACATAAGCAGATAATTGAAAATCTAACATAAATTGAGACGGTTGTACAAAATTGAAATGAAATAATAGTAAAGGTATGAAACTGAAATGTTTTAAAAATGATTTTATAAGTTGTAATTGCATCCAAACTTGAGGGTGCAAAATGTAAAACTATATAAATTTGTATGGGTGACCATACGAATACTCCAATTATTTATTTTTGCTGATTATTGCTTTTTCTCACTGAAATAAAATAAATATAAATAAGAAGGGGAAAGAAGAGTAATTGCAGTTAAATTCGTCGGAAATGGATCACTTCTGAATCTCTTCCATCCAATCCATTAAGTCAAAGAATCTGGTATCTTAAAATTTGATCCAATGATTAAAGTTATTATAACTTTTAAAGAAACTCTTATTTTAATCATTGGATCAAATTTCAAAAGTCCAAATTATTGACTCAGTAGATTTGGTGGAAATTCACCACCAATCTGGCAATTTTCTTTAAAAATTTATAATACAAAAAAAAAACAAAAAAAAGTTAGACACACAAATGAAGTAAAGAATTAAAGCCCAATTGAAAATCGCCCGGCGAGATCAATAGAGAAGAAGGGAGGGTCGTTGTACTCGTATAGCTGGTTAGCCGCGCGCCACGACGTCGTTTGGAAGCTAAAACGCGGTCCAGAACCTCCGATGCAGAGGCGGAGCTGAGAGGAGAGAGAGGATCCAATCGGAAAATGGCAGGGAAGTTGAAGAAGGGCGAGGCGAGCAGTAGCAGCAGAAGCGGCGGCGGCGGCGGCAGTAACCACAGAGGGGAAAGCGTGGTGGTGGATTACGGCGAAAACAAAAGCTCCTGCGGCTACTGCAAATCCCCTGCTCGCACCAGTATCGCTCACGGTTCGTCTCTCTTTGTCGTAATTTGTTTGGTTTTAAGTTCGTAATCCAGTTGATTTGTCTTGCTAATTAGAATTTGAACAAGTTTAGAGTTTTGATTGTGATTAATGGAGCTGTGTGAAAAAATTAGGCCTTTAAAGTCGATTATATTCTTCGGATGGTTGCTGTTCATTCAGTAGTCGTTGCGAATCCTCGAAAAAATTGTAGTTTTGAATCATTGGGTTTAATTCCATGAATACAAGATAATGTGATCATTTTGCAAATTAGTTATGAGGTTTCATAGCGATTCGAATTGGAAAGAAAGAGTTGGGATGTTAGGCCAATGCTGATTTGCTAACTATAGCTCTATTTTCCGTCGCCGTGTTAAAGTTCTTTTGCTTTTTTTTGGATGAATTTAATGTTTCTGATTACGTTCTTAACTTGTCTTTGATTTTTCAGGTTTGTGGGCACATAGCATTACGATTGATGACTACCAAGGTTGGTTTTTTATTGGATGCTCATTATATTTTGTGAACAATACTACTGTTGTTCTACTGGCAAGATTTCTTTATTGTGTACGTATTTTAACGAGTCTCAGTTTAGATCTTCTTGACCGGGGTTGGAGGCGATCTGGTTGTTTCCTTTACAAACCTGACATGGAAAGAACATGCTGCCCTGCTTATACTATTCGTCTGAGAGCAGGCGATTTTGTTCCTTCCAAAGAGCAAGCGCGGGTGTCTAGACGAATGCAAAGGTATAGTTATGTTGCCTTTTATTCTTCCTCCTCTCCCCAAAAAGCAGAGTTTTCAGTGTTGTTGCGTGTAGATTGGGAAGGATCATTCTTTTGGTATGTTTAGAATAATTCATCAGTTAATTTACAATATAGAACCCCTCCAAAGATAATGTCTGATGATCTTTCAAGGTTGCTGCACAGAATCTGCTTTAAAGAAAATTCTAATGTCGTATTTTGCAATTTTCCAAGGTTTTGAGTGGGTCATGGACTAATTGATGGCGATTACTTTCAGTTATCAATAGCGTAATTTTATTATGATCTTCGTATCCTTTATCCTGATCACTGAAAATGATCTATGCCTAGGTACTTAGATGGTACCTTGGAATGTAAGAAACCAGGGGAGTGTATAGAGAATCCAAATGCCTCTAAGGACACACGCAGCCATACCCATCCCAAAGTTTCAAGCTCAGCTGCGAAAGAATCCTGTTCCAATAACAATGAAGAGAAGGGTGGGGAAGAAAAGATTATGCATTACTTATCAGATCAAGTTGATAATGCCGTTCGTGGTTGCTCTGAAAATGGGGAATTCCCTGACATTCAATTTCCAAAAGCTATTGTTAAAAAGGTTTTACAAGCCAAAAGAAAGCTATTGGTTGAAGGATCCGAAGATCTCTTATACTCTAGCAATTTTGCATTCCAAATAGCGGCTACTATAAGGAGGTCGTTACCAGGTGAGAATGACGTCCACCGGGGAAGATTGTCGACGCATATTACAGATGAAAAAGGGCCATCTCCAAAACTTATTGCTGAAAAGCTAGAGTGTTACTTGAATCAGTTGGCAAAAACATCTGGTCTGTTAGTCAGGGCTTGCAATGGACATTTAAATTTTTATTCTGCCACAAAACAAGCTTCCTTATACGAAAGTGCTCAAACTGTTAACATCTCTAAAGGATCTGCTGCCGGGTCTGAAAGTAAAGGGTGCGGTGTGACACATAGCTCTCAAAATGCTCCGGTAAAGAGGCGTAGGCTTGAGATTCATTTGAGAAGGTCCAGTTTTGATTCAGAAGAGTATGCTTTATATAGACGGTATCAAATAGCGGTGCATAATGATTCCCCTGAGCATGTTACTGAAAGCTCGTATAAGAGGTTCCTGGTTGATACTCCCTTAAATTATGTGCCTCCAAAAGGATGATGGAACAGTTCCACCTTGTGGCTTTGGTTCTTTCCATCAGCAATATGTTGTTGATGGCAAGCTTGTTGCAGTTGGTGTTATAGATATCCTCCCTAGATGTTTGTCAAGTAAATACTTATTTTGGGACCCAGATTTTGCCTTCCTATCACCTGGAAAGTATTCAGCACTGCAAGAAATAAATTGGGTGAAAGAAAATCAAGCCCATTGCTCTACTCTCCAGTATTATTATCTCGGTTACTACATTCACTCTTGCAGTAAGATGAGATACAAAGCAGCATATAGCCCATCTGAGTTACTCTGTCCGCTCCGTTACCAGTAAGTTCCCTTTCACTTGTAGCAGCTGACCATGGAAAGCTGTTAATTGTTTCAATTTACTAATTAGTTTGAAAATTCTTCCTTTATACGTTTGTCCTCTTTGTTACTTCTCTTGATAATTATATACATGTGAGCTGAAGTTTTCAGATGAGACCAATTTCAACTTTATTTACACACGATGGAAATCATTACTTTTCAATATCTTCATATAAATCAAGAAAATTTTCTAATGTCCTGATATTCAAAGTTTTTCGGTGACTGACAAGCCGAAATTTTAACTCCAGGTGGATTCCTTTTCATATTGCCAGGCCTTTGCTTGATAAAAAGCGGTATGCTGTTCTGTCGGATGTTTCCGTCTCACAAGATAGAGAGTCCTTGCCACCCCATGTTTCTGAAGAAGTCATGGAAGTGCAACATGACGACATTGGGAAAGAAGACACTAATGATTTTCCTATGTATGATGATGAAGTAGCAATTGACTTTGAATATGAAAGCTCAGACAACGAACAAAATCTGGTATCTGTTGATGTGGAAGATGGAAATATCGGTAACATTTTAATCGGGTTGAATGGATCTCGTGTGAGATTCAAGGTATGTATACTCAAGCGTCATAGAATTTTCAGACCTCCCCACGCAAAATCCAGATACCTTCGTGTATTCATTTACTTGCTACACTGTTTTTTGTTGAAGGATATAAAGTTCGCTTTTGGTTCTTCAGAAAGGAGTTACTTGGAGTTCCAGCTGCACCGATATATGAGAGTTGTAGGTGAAGAGCTGGCTGAGCGAATGGTTTATTCACTCGAGTGATTTGGTCGTTCTCGTGACCCTTCGATTGATTTCATCATAAATGAAAGATTTGCACATTGTAACCGGAGCCGACTTTTCTGCCTGAACCAACCACCTGGCCATTTTGCCCGGGGGCTAAACCGGTAAGCCAATGCCGAGTAGTTTGGTTCCGGCACTTGTTTGCTGTTCCAACCGGCTATGTTCAATATCCGACAGACCCTTCCTCGAATGCATCTTGCAGTTTACATGTTTTTCTTGATGTCAAGTTATATCTATTTAAATTGGTAAATTTATAAGAGTTGCCCAAATGCATAATTAAGCTGCGATTTACCTTTTTTATATTAGGAAAACTAACGAAAAGAAAAAAAAAAAAAAAACTTTATTTTCATTTTAATGAAAAATAAAGATGTGAATAATATCAGGAAAGGTAAAAATGTGGGTTTTTATTTTATTTGAAATGAACAGTACGAAAAGTGTTTTGTTACAATTTCATTTTATATTTTAATATAATATAATATTTAATTTTGTCCCCAGCATTAATTTTGTGGGTCCCCTTGTACGATTGAAAGGAAATTTTGGACGTCAGCAAACTGTCTTGTCCCGCCGGATTGTCCGGATTAATTTTGGCGAATGAAGATGTTCGAGTCGGTTTATTTTTGCTTCTGTTTCTTGATGTGCCAACTACAAAAGTCCTTAGAAAATAAGATGAGAAAATGACCAAATTAGGAATTCGAACAGAATCAACGATAATCGTGATTTATACAGCCCCGTACTGAAAACACGAGAGAATCTGTCTTAACGTACTGAGAGGGATAGATAAAAAGAAATACACCATCGATGTTTGCCAGGAATGTCTCGATCACAAACACGCTAGACGAGCAAATCCCTCATCGATCAATCACAAGGGTGAGGGCAGGTGAGAATTTTATTGAACTAGAGATTGCATTTAAAGAGAGGTTACATACAAGAAGATCAAATTCGAACACAATCAGAAGTTTTACGACGCTGTTATTGAAGGTAAGTTCAGATAGTTGCCTAAATTCAGGAATTACGAGCTTCTAATTCACACGAGTTGAAGAAGAACAATGAGATTTGAAGAATGTACAGTTGAGTATGAACGGGTCATCGATCAAGCATCATCTGCATCGCTGCTACCGACTTGTGCTTCGTGACTGACCCAATAATCGTTTCCATCCGGACCCAACACCTTCACCCTGCTCAAGAATGAAGCTCACAAGCTTATTTTCACATAACTCAGATTAGATTAGAATGTTAAATTTTCTTTCTCCGCATGTCTACTGACCGCTCAAGTACGGATTTTCCTTCCTTGTACTTCTGGGTCTCATCGTGGGCAGTCTCCTAAAAGAAACCATCAAAACGAATAACAGTAGAAAAAGAAATGCATAAATCATGATAGTTCTAATCATGGCTCATGATCTTACATATTTCCACCCCACTATCGATCCACACCCGACGCAGAAAATGTCAGCAACTGTGTGCAGTCCAGTAATCATCGATCTATCTTCACACTCTCCGGAAAATACATTCACTCTGTAATATGATTGGAGATGTGAATCACATATCTAAAACCAACTAATTGCAAGCATATACGGCTCAATGACAAATTTCGTTGAATGAGCTTGCAAATGTGCACTTATTATCCTATTTCAGACTGCATTATCCCCCCACATTCCGTACTTTCAGCTGTGTTGGGACATAATTCGAATGACCAAATGAAAAATATGACTCAGAGACTGAGCGCTGGAAGCTATTGGCGGCCATTCTCTCGTTATATATAAATTCAAGAAAAGAAAGCAGATTTTCATTGAAACGGAAATAGACCAGTGTCGTATGATCAATAAAGCACACACGCAATCGATAAATGTTTCTTGATCATGGGTAAAAACAAACAGAATAGTCTTTCACTATTTCAACATCTCGTCTGTAACTCCCATATCAGACATGGTAAAGGTGTCCAAATATTAAGAAAAACTTACACCTTCTTGAAGAGATACGCCTTCCCGTGCCTGCAGTGGAAAGACTGAATGAAACACAGGCCAAACATGTAGTCAGAAAGCGCGCTTGTTTTCAAATTTGAAATTACCAATCATGAGTTATTTGACTCCAAATGAAAAGGGAAAATAAGTGGCAATCACAACGACGAAGAACAGAACAAGCCTTGGTTATACTGAACTATTCAATAATCATCATTGTTTCATACCTTGTCGTCAAAACTTTAAAGACAGCACAGACTATAACCATCTTTCATTTCATTCTAATTAGAGCATTACGTTCTCTTACATTATATCACTCGAGACAATACCAATGCACTCATTCGCGGACAAATGCTTCTAAAACTAGTTGTGCACATGGACGTAAAGGCGCATTTGAAAGCAATGAACAATGAAAACTATGAAAGCATGATAACCAAAATTCTAACAGCTACACCATAGACCACCAATCCATGTCCTCTCTCAGTAGAAAAGAGGATAAGGTTTCAATTAAGTTCTAGCTGTCCCCTTCACTAAAAACTAGAACCAAGTTCTTCCGGCACTCCCGGCCTTCAGGAGAAACAATAAAATGCAGCATCATGTTGGTCCTGGATACAAGTTCCACCTTATGATATAGGATCCAAATGCCTCCCAAAACATCCCTTATCATCAAATCCATATACTTCAACGGACAGACGCCCTACTGAACATTCCTCTATTATCTAGATCATAGTCAATCAAGCTCACAAAAAACTATCTAAGAAACTACGACATACTTAACCAGATCTTCTGCTAGTAACATTAATCACAAAAGCAGACCACGTAATAGAGTTGACCAATTACACCGTCAAAGAACATGCACATCATCTCACACACAAAAAACAAAAACCAAAAAAAAAAAAAAAAAAAAAAATTAATCAAGACCGGATGGAAAATTCAGCAGAAAATCACAAAAAAGCAATAAATTGTTGCTGATTAAAAGATTGTAAAAGATCAAATTAACAACCCTGGAAACTATGTCCTCACAAAGAGCAAGATGGGTCCGGCAGTGCCTGCAGCTGTAGATCTTCCCCTCGAGACTCACCACAAATAGCCTCCCCATGCCTCCACCGCACACCCAGAAAATTCCTCTAGCCACCCAAATCCGAAGTAAGACGAAGATCCAGGAAAAGGGTCGTCGTTAAAATCGAAGAAAAACCAGAAGAAGATTGATTTTTGAAGAAATGAATCGACTGAGAGAGAAAAAGAATACCCAACTGAGAAAGAAAAGGGCAGATGCCTGAAAAGAAAGAGAGAGAATTTCTGGCTGAATATTTTTGACCTTTACCTGGTGTCCGTCTGGTCAAGTCTCTGTAGTTGCAAGAAATGTGGACGGAAAGGAACTATCACATTTCACAATTTTATCACTTGTGTCACAGTGGAACCTGACAACGTGAACTCTACGGTTAACAAAACATTTAAGGTTGGTTTTTGCAATAATCTCTGTCGTGTTTTCTACTTATTCAGAATTCAAACTTCGCAGGTATAATGTATGGTTTTCATTTCAAGACCACAGGAGAATTCGAGTTTAAATGCAAGAAGAGAATAAGACATTTTGTATATGGTTTTTGTTGGGAATGTCTTAGTGTAAAATTAGAAGTTAAGGATTTTGATCGATTGGATCACAACCTTCATATACTAGACACATTGATTTAACGAACTTAATTACAATTAAAAGTTACATATATTGTATGTTTTCATTATGAGAATTGTTAAGAGACTCAATGGAATTCTTCATAAACTCTCTATCACATCACACTTTAATATCAATTCTCGTCTCTACATTATAAAACATTGATATTAAGGAAACTCTTCAAAACGGAACTCTCTGTCACTTCACACTTTAACATCAATTCTCAAGCCAATATTATAAAACATCGAAAGAAACAGTTTAGGAAAAAGGGCCTCCAACATGAATATCATAAAAGAAGCTCAAAGATGTTCACCAAAAAAAGAAGCTCAAAGATGATGGTATTAACTGTATGGTTGTAATGTGAGTTTAGAAAGGTTCATAAAATATCACTCTGTACATCTACCTACCATGTTTCCCCATATGTTACTAAATTTTGATGGCAAAGTTTCAACTTCTTTGGTATTCTTATATTAACAATTACTGTTGATAACATATGAACTTCTGATCTATTTATATATTTATATGAAGGTTAGGTATAAAATAGAAACGTATTGCAAGCTCTCATAGGCCATTTAGAACTTGATAATTTCAAATTGGTATGCTATACCCATTACCTGAAAGGGATTTGACACATGATTACTTAAGGCAGACTTTGAGAATTTAGGGTCTTAAGCAAGTCTTGGAAGCAGAGCCTTAAAGTTTTCTGACTCCCGAGCCTTAAAGTTTTCTGACTCCCGAGCCTTTGTACATTGATATGTATAAAAAGGAATTTGCTAAATACATGAAAAAATATATTTCTATATCAAATATATCACATCCCGGCCCGGGGGGGACCACTTCCCGGGCCCGACTCCACCACCGTAGGGAATGGCCAGAGCAATCCCATGATGGGTGACCCACTGGGAAGTTGCTCGTGAGTTCCCAAAAACAAAACCGTGAGGGAATGGTAAGCCCAAAGCGGACAATATCGTGCTACGGTGGTGGAGCGGGCCCGGGAAGTGATCCGTCCCGGGCCGGGATGTGACAATTTGGTATCAGAGCCTAACCCTGGTCGCGTATGTGCCGACGAGGACGTCGGGCCCCTAAGGGGGGTGGATTGTGACATCCCACATCGCCTAGGGAAGTGATCCTTAAATGTATATTCCCATCCCTACCTAGCACGAGGCCTTTTGGGAGCTCACTGGCTTCGGGTTCCGTAGGAACTCCGAAGTTAAGCGAGTAGGGGGCCAGAGCAATCCCATGATGGGTGACCCACTGGGAAGTTGCTCGTGAGTTCCCAAAAACAAAACCGTGAGGGAATGGTAAGCCCAAAGCGGACAATATCGTGCTACGGTGGTGGAGCGGGCCCGGGAAGTGATCCGTCCCGAGCCGGGATGTGACAAAATATCATTAAAAATCAATATCAAAAGAATAAAGATATACAAACATTACTTGAATATCACACGTCTGGCGTCTTTAAACACAAATATACTAATTAAGTTGACATAATCTAATTTTTCAACCAATATGTTTTCAATTGATAGAATAGCTAACCCATCCAAAGGGTTCAGCCATTTAGGGTTTGGTGTATAGCAATCTAGGGAGTGCGAAAAAAGAAGTAAATAGATTTGTTTTTCAAGACAATAAGAACATGTTTGAGTTGCTAGACATTTCACTCTTCATGTACAAAATAGGTCTGCCGTTTTTCATTCTATTAATATATAAAACAATTATATCTTACAAATGTTGGGGTCAGCCACTCAGCCACAAAGACTCAAAGTTTCTAAACTTCTTATTTTAACAGACACAAGGTTTGTAATATTAATAATATGGAAAAGGATCCTTGCCGGATCCTTTTCTTGAGGATCCCCAGGATCCCGTGATTGTGACCATTCATCGTATATTGTGTGGTCAAAAAATATTTTAAAATTTAAAATTAAATATAAATAATACCTAACGAAAACTGACCGTACGATACACAATGAATGGTCACGATCACGGGTAGATCCTTTTCCTAATAATATACTAGTATATGAGCACGCACACACAACGTGTGTGAGAATATTTTTTTTTTTGTTTTGTTTTTGAAATAGAAGGAGAGAGGAAAAGAGGAAGAGAGTAATAGAGAATGTGGCAGTGAGATTTTATTTTTTATTTTTTATTTTTTTATAATTAGAGATATGTTAGGATTACATGTATATGAGGTTTTGAAAACAAAAAAAAAAGAAAAATTTGGTTGTGTGAAATTACATTTCTGCCCCATATTTCTTATTCATATTATGTTTTAATTAGAAGGTTAAATCCGTAATTTCATAGGATTTTGGTTGACAATGAGTGTTTTATTAATTAGTAGAGATATATAATATGTATGTGGTTCAATATCCTAGTATATAGAGTGTTAGGTTTCCACCCATATATTCCAGGTTCAAAATTCCCCATTCGTTAATTTATTATTATAGTTCGAATACTCTCCTTCCCTTAATAATAATAATAATTTAAAAAAAATTGTATATAAAATATAAAAATATTGGAGCCCTTCCACAATGGATTCCTAAGCCGCCGCCTATTCCAGCTATCTGACTTAGATCCTCTCCTGAGCTAGCCCCAACGGAGCCTAGGGATCAATTGATAACAGCCCTTCAATTTGATCATGCGGCCAAGAAGCTTTCAAATTGTTTCACGCAACCCAAGGCAATTTTGTTTGCCTTTTACCATTCCCGCTCATAATCCACTTGTCTCTCATCTCTCCCCCTAGTCTCCAGCTTTCTACAAAAAGCTCCCGTGATCTCCAGCTTCCTTGCTCCAAAAAAAAAAAAAAAAATCCAATTGCTGCATGCAATCTGGTGACGGAGAAGGAAGCGGCCCTGGCCGGGGTGTGGGCCCAGCTAGCCGTGCCGGATCGACATCATCGGCTGCTTCGCCTTCTTCATCGTCTTCAGCCGTGTTGACGCCGCAACTGGGTTTTGATTCGGTGCAGCATCAACATCAGCAGCAGCAATTGTCTAGACAGGTAATGATTGATAGTTGTGGCTGGAAATTTGGTTTTTTTGTGAGAATTTAGTTGAATTGGAATGTGGGTTTTGGAATTTGGAATCAGATCCTCTCATGATCTCCAGCTTTATTGAATTTAGGGTCCGTAGCTCTTTCTTCAAGTAGAGGAATTTATGGAATTTGTTTCAATTAGGGAGTAAAAGTTAGGGGAAAAGTTGAAAACAATAAAAAATTGTTACATGTACTTGATGCACAAGTGAATTTTTTTTGAAGTTTTTGGAAATTTGTGTTTTAATTTCAGTTAGAGGCATAATTTGTAGAAAAGATAGCTATGGTTGATGAAACCTTGTACCTAATCGCCGTTTGAATCGATGAGCTGAAGAACGAAGACATGAAGCTCTCCGTTTGAATTCAATCTGGAGGATTTCCACGATTGCCCTTACACTGGGAGAAGAGATGTGTAGCTGTTGTTTTTTGGTCATCATTGGATTTCCTGATGTGTAGCTGTTGTTTTTTGGGTTAGTTTAGTGAACTAAGAAATCCAAATGTATTAGGGACTCACTAGAGAATGCATGAGTTAGGGCATGTAAAGCTAGAGGTTTTCTGTAAACCATAACTTGTTATGTAAATGTCTACGTAACGTTTATCTTTTACTTCTTGAAGTGAAAATATATCACATGTGTATTTCCTTAGAGTTATGTCTATTCAGACAAGCCTCATTATCCCGTTGAAGCCGAACATATGCAGGCACCAGGTCCGACGTAATATATATCAACATCACCACACTTATCAATTAATTTAGAACTCAACAAAGTAGGTAGAGAGAGAGATCGGACAATCGATTCACATTTACATAATTACAACATCCTAATCCAAGTAATACAGTATTCACAATAAAAGCCAAGCCACAAAATAAACTGACTACCTTGTAGCTTCTGGACCAACAGCTTCACACAGCTCGTATAATTGATTCGCAGCCATGTACCGAATACGCCAAGACTTATCTTGGTCCAAAGAACAAGTTTGCATCATGAACTAGGGTAAGCAATATGAAACAAACTGCAGGATGAAACTCGGGCTGTAAACCACCCTCCGGTAGCAAGTCTCTGTATTCAAAATAATGTATGAAGAGAAATATAGATAAGTCATTCCAATACACTGAGGTAGAGCATTGTCATAGGGATAACGTGAACAAAATATAAGTTCTAGTGGATTTTGTGAATAATTACATTTTATGAACTCGAAAGAAAATAAAAGAGAAAACGAAACTTTTGAATTGTGAATCTACTACCATGGCATTTTATATACACTCTACAACCCAATCCGCCATGTCAAACCACAAGATCATGTGTCCAGAGTGAAAGCGTAATGAGAAGGCAAACAACTACAAGTAAATAATGGAAGAGGATCAAATCATCTAACCTTAACCAAAGGAATGAAATATTCAACCCAGAACGTTGGCATGATCCACACCACCCACATAAGGGATAAACACCCCCAACTCTTCCGCCATTGCCAGCAGCACTTCATCATCATCATCGTTGTTCTCGCTGAGGAAAGGAATCAGTTCCTTCTTGGTCCTCTCTTCTCCCAGTGCACGGGCAATCGTGGAAATCCTCCGGATTGAGTTCAAACGGAGCTTTATGTCTTCGTTCTTCAGCTCATTGATTAAAACGGCGATCGGTACAAGGTTTCATCAACCATAGCCATCTTTTCTACAAATTATGCCTCTAACTGAAATCAAAACACAAATTTCCAAAAAACTTCAGAAAAAATCCACTTCTGCATCAAATACATGTAACAAGTTTCGATTGTTTTCGACTTTTTCCCTAACTTTTACTCCCTAATTGAAACAAATTCCATAAGTTCCTCTACTTGAAGAAAGAGCTACAGACCCTAAATCCAATAAAGCTGGAGATCAGGAGAGGATCTGATTCCAAATTCCAAAACCCACATTCCAATTCAACTAAATTCTCACAAAAAAAAAAACAAAATTTCCAGCCACACATATCAATCATTACCTATCTAGACCCCAATTGCTGCTGTTGTTGTTGTTGCTGTTGTTGATGTTGTTGATGCTGCACCGAATCAAAACCCTGTTGCGGCGTCGAGGACGATGACGTCGATCTGGCACGGCCAGCCGGGCCCGCCTCCTCCTCCGCCACCAGATTGCATGCAAGAATTGGATTTTTTTTTTGGAGGAACGAAGCTGCAGATTAGGGGAGCGGGAATTTTGTAGAGAGCTGGAGATTAGGGGGAGACACGGAGAAGAAGGGGAGGTGGATTAAGAGCGGGAATGGTAAAAGGCAAACAAAATTGCTTTGGGTTGCGTGAAATAATTTGAAAGCTTCTTGGCCGCAGGATCAGATTGAAAGGCTGGGAGCAATTGATCCCTAGGCTCCGTTAAGGCTAGCTCAGGAGAGGATCCAAGTCCCCAGCTACCCTAGGGGCAGCATATATTTGTGAAAATATCTATTAGGTAGTTTTATTTAAAAAATTGTTATTAGCACTTGATGAATCTCATTCTACACTCTTCATAAGTATATTTTTCTTTATAATTATAGGAAGTTTAGAGTGTAAAATGAGAATTTTGAAATGCCAATAACAATTCGCTTTATTTATTTAGCTTACTCTTGAACTACACATCATCAATTTTCTTTTGGGGTCAATTAAATTTATCAGCTATTATTGGAGATCAAGAGAGGGTGGGTGGCAAAAGAGATCCTCGTCGGATTCTTTTTGTGAGGATTTTAGGATTCTCCAATCATATTTGTTTATCGTATTGTGCTACTAATTTTTATCAGGTACTATTTATATTCAATTTTAAATAAAAAAATTTATAAAAATTTCTGATTACACGATATACGATGAACATATGTAATTTGAAGATTCTCGTAATCCATCCGGTGAGAATCCTTACTCGGTGGGTGGGATGTGATTATGCAAGACACTCTGTGATGATAAGATGTTTTAGGCAGCTAAGACTGCTCGTGCCCACTGAATTTGCAAGGCAAGGTTTAATATAAGGAAGTTTTAACGAAACACATCAAATATTAAATAATTGATTTATTTACATCACATATGTGAATACACTGTGCCAATGATCGGAGATAAGGTGATCCAAAGAGGCTAAAATAGGTCCTTGAAGTTGAACCTACAACTCCACAAAGTCTTAATTTGAACATAAAATAAAGTCCCCTAGTTCTTGAACCTAATAAAAGTCCACACCTCCTCCTACACATTGTCCAAAATATGCTCATCGATACGTTTGGCCCTTATTTTAGGGTAAACAATGCGAAGTTACAGTCTTAATAAAAAAATTACACGTTAAAAAATTAATAGTTTCACATATGTTAGTATGTTACAAACTTTTACCACACATATGCCAAACCATTTTTTTTTTGTTCAAACGATATTCAAAACTAATTAGAAGGTGAATTCAGACGAACTTTGATACAAGAAGACAAGTTGGTTACACCTAACATGTCAAGCGTTTCTTCTTCATCTTTTATTTTTTTTCTTATTGATAAATTGTTCATAATGACGTTTGTGATAAATGACAATCTGATTATCTGTTTTTTCTCCACAATTATACATTTGTAAAATCAAAGCATTATGAGTTTATAAGCGTACAAAATCACATCATAATTCGCATAAATATAGCAATTAAATATATGATAAAGAGCTAAGGAAGGCCACGTATATAGGTGATAAGGGTACTCTTAATCTTAGTCTTGGACTCTTTGGCTAGAGAGAGGAATAGACTGATACAATTAAGCTTGATTTCTTTTCTTTTAATTATCTTATTTGTTAAAGGTAAGAAGAAAACTGATAGGTCCCTTTCCTGTGACAGCAGCTTGGATTCCAAAAATGAGGAAGACGACCATGGCAAGACGGGCATGCTTGATCTCAGCCAGTTGAAGCCTTTCAAATTCATCGGGGTCGGAGGCCAAACCCAACGGGTCGAAGAACTTGCCACCAGGGTACAACCTCTTCTCCGGGTCAAGCTCGGCATTCCTCTGGAACTCAATGTAGCCAATCACCAACACCTCGATCCATATCAATGTGGTGATGGAGAAGGGAAGTGGAAGGCCAAGGTAGGACGATCCTTCGATCAACTCAACCTGTTGAATCAGTCAAAAGAAAATTAGTCGCCAAGTTAACAATTTACAGTAACGTTAAATTACATGATGAGTGTTGTAAACATAAGAAGATAAATCTCCAGCTGTGGGGCAAACTTTTTCGGATTATCATGAGCACTAATAGGTTAAGTAAATTAATGTGTGAGATGTATAGAACAAACTTGGAATTTGGAATGGTGTGGCTATCATTTTCAGTACTATCATCACATTCATCGTCAATAAGGACCTTACCTTTAGAGTTAGGACCATCATATGTTTTTTGCATGGATTATAGTAAGACACGACGACGAAAACGCTGTGCCAGATATATGTATATACTCAGCTCCTTATATAATAATTACAAAATACGAGATACGGCCTATATGTCATAAATACAAATTAAAAAAATGCATTTCCAGGACAAATAAGAAGAAAAAGCTTCAATGGGCACATGCACATCATTATGGACCTTATCCTCTCTTGAATGTTTTATATCTAGAATCTATGTATAAAATAGAAGATATGTTTATTAAAATACGATTTTTAATCAACAAAGACAAAAGTTATCTTTATATTTCTTTTTGTCACATATTCAAAAAGTTCGGCCACTGCCACATCAATATTGTTCAAATTTAACCATTTATTGCAAAATATTGGTTTTATTAAAAAAAACCTCAATATTTGTTAGGAGTGGAACCATCCACTAATACATTGTATTTTATTTTTCTTAATTTTGTAATTAACAATTCATTCGTATATTATTGAAAGTATTTTATACTAAAAGCCCACTAACAAAAAGGTATATGCGCATATTAAATATCTTTATATAGCTGAAAAATTCGTTAATTTTGACTCTATAGTTGATGAAAAAAATCAAATAAATTACATTAGATTATTTTATCTGTTATCAACATTGATGAAAGATTTGAACTTTGGTGTTTTTTCATTTCTTAAGTTCTTGATAATTTTTTTGTACGTATAAACTCTAAGATTTACATACAGTGTACATGTATTAAGCAGGCAACTGAGATCCATCGCACTAGCTAAACATTTTCATCAGAATCCTAAAACTAAAACAAATTTGGAATAATCAAATAAATGAAACTTAATTCAGCATGTGATGCACATATACGATGTATTTTAGATTAATTAATTAACCTTTCCAGCGTCTTGCCATGCAACACCGGTGAGTCCCTCAACGGCAAGAGCACCAAGCGCTCCCAGCATGGCCCACCTCCCGTGAATCAGCTCGCACTCCCTGAACCTCTGCAGCCCAAAAACCTCCGTGTACGGCTGAAAAGGCGTCGGATTCACCTCCACGGTCTCGATCCTTGTCCCGATGATGTCACCCGCCACATTCTTGGCCAGGTTCTGGTCGAGCCCGTCGTAATCGAATTGCAAGTACTCGGCGGGCTTCCCCAACCCAAAGGGGTCGAACCCGCGGTCCCCGGGCAGAGAGCCGTCAAGCCACTCTGGCGGTTCAACACCCGGAAACCATACCAGTCGTTCGCCGTCATCAAACTTTTTTTGCTTTTGCTTTGGCGGTGCAGGTGGTGGCGACTTCTTGGTGCCGAAGCTGAAGCCTCCGAAGCCGCCAAGGCGGGCTTGGAAGCGTCCGAAACTGGGATCTGGGGTTCGGAGTTGGGATCCAAAGAAGTGGGAGGTAACGGCGGCTGTGGCGGCAGCCATTGTCTCAAAAGTGGAGGAGAGTGGGGTGGTGGGGGTGGGACTGTAATTGGAGAGCTAAATAGTGTAAAAATAGTGAGAAATTTGTGAAGGATGTGTGTGAAACGTGAATGTTTAATTTTAGGCCTTACCTTTTGGCAAAGCCTTATCTTTTGGATATGTATGTACTATGTAATGTATGTAGGTGTGGGGTAATGCCTTCATCATCAGTCTCAGTCCTCATAAAAGGGATTGCAATTCTTTCTGGATCTCATACTTCGGAGTTCACAGATTGAGAGATCTGAACAGCATAATATAAAATGAACGGTCTAAATTTCTCGATTTGTAAGCTCTAGAGTGTGAGATTCGGAAATGATCTCAATATGAATATGCACATGTATTTTACCCCACACAATGTATAGTTTTATCATAGAATTGTCATGTTACGCTCCGATCTCGACATACGTCCCGGATCGACATGCGACGTTACCAAATACTCGTATATCTAACATACCCATCTCCGGGATATGACAAATCACAACTCGAGAATCAAAACTCATAGTAATTTTTTTGTATACTTTATGGCTGCATCTAACCTCCTCGTTAGACTGCCTACGTACCCTTATTAGGGATCAAACCATTCGTAGTTCACCATTGCTATAACTCGACATATAACAGTCTATTTAAAGCCAAAATGCATAACATTCCTTAATCAAACATTTGGACTTGACAAGCATGAATTATTCGATTCAAACTACACAACAACCCGCAAGACAGTTAAGGTTTCTATTTCATCCATCATATAAATCATTATGTTTTAACATAAAATTGCCATTCATATCATGTAATATATCAAAGAATCAATAAAGCACAATAGTATCCTCTAGTCGCCTTGATCACAGATCTAATCCTTTTAATAACAATCATATTCAACATCCTTCCACAATCATCTCAAGTAACCCATTTCATGATATCAAGGAGGCACAATATTAACATTTAATTATGTTAATCAGCCAATCAAATCACATCTCAATGCTCATAATTAATAAAGGACTTCTATATGATTCCCTGCCTGGATTTCAAGTAATAACTTGATAATTCTAATTTATATTCACAAGATTTATTGTGAGTAATTCCCATTCACTCGAATCCAGGGTACAAGTCTAACTTATGGAAATGAGCAAGAGTAGGGATTCGGACCACTCAACGAAATCCAAAACTATCAATCGGTTTCTTGCATGTAAAATTAGTGTCATCGATCACAATCTATAAACATCAAATATAGAATCATGCTTTATGAAATCATAATCAAGTCACTGACAACTTCGAAGGAGTCACCCACACATCCAACTGACTTTTCTAATTCAAAGCACAAGATTCTCAAAATCCATTGTTCATATGTACATTAAAAACTAGGGCTAGAAGGACGCAGTTCGGCCGAAGACTACATCTTTGAAGCTATCTCAATCCAAAGTCAATGAAACCCAAGGTGGATACGATCCCGGACCATCACTCAACGGAATCAGGGAGTATGAGGGATTCCAAACCATCTCTCAACGGAATCCGAGTGGATATGATTCCGGACCATCACTCAACGGAATTGCGGATCTCTCAACGGAATCTGAGTGGATACGATTCCGGACCATCACTCAACGGAATTGCGGAGGGCCAACAACCATATATACAACGGCTCAAAGAAATGAGACAAGCACAAGTTACTTAATTTACAAAAGTTCAACCAAGGGAAATAAGGCACAAATACTAAATTTAGAACGAATCAACGAAACAGAAGATAAAAACCATATCGAAGCAACAAATCCCCATCACCATGGGTTAACGGTCTACCACTAGTCCTCACATTTCATCACAACATGCTAAGCAAACCAATCAAACCATATTTCAATATATACATGTCAGATCTCATTTCATAAACTTAAATCAATGTCTCAGTATTGGAAATAACAATTCAATAGAAACATATTCATAAAACCAAATCATATCCACATAGGATAATAATTACGAAAATAGAATAATCACCAATATCACTTATATTAAAATCACTCACAGAAATGATAAACCTATATCAAATCAAACCATCTACTATGTAACATTGCAAAACTAGAAATAACCAATTGTTGTGCACGAAGTTTGTCTTCATAAATGGTAAAATGCCACCTATTGGTAATCACACATCTTGTTCCTTTGTGGAACAATATTTATCATGATATGAGCAATGATCCATCGGAGCTATCACTGAGATATGAAACCATGCCACCTACACAACATTTTTCTTAAACATAAATGTTTGGACTTCATTAATAGCAACTAGATCATAAAAAAAAAAAAATCCATATTATTTGTAGCACATTCTTGCATAGCAATTACAGGAAAGCAAGACAACCTTGGAAGGAGCATGAGAATAAAACTTGATCCCACTTTTAATCCCACATGACTTGTAGAATAGCTAGCTAACGTACCACAGTTGAAGGCATTCGGAAAACATAATCAAGACCAATATACATCTTTGAGGGTTGGAAATGTAGAAGTATAGTTAAACTAAAGCTGTAAGGGACTTTCCAACATGCACTAATGTACTATTAGATTACCACATAACACAAGTATTTACAGCTCAGTGCAAAGAAAGTAAAGAAGTTATTTGACGAGGTCTTACTCCAAGGAGATAATATCAATAACCACTTCCCAATAGTGTAAAAGAGTTAATTCAATACTACCATATGTGCATCATCATGGTGCAAAGACTGCAGCTCATGTCTCACAAATTCTATAATCTATAGAGACATTGTGATCTGGTGACAACTAAATAGAGAGCACCTCCCTTGTTGCTTCACTAATCTCCCCATGACAGCACAATAATCAACCAAAGCATTTCAACCAAATGTATGTTCTCACAGTAAATTAATAATCCTAATTCTGCAGATATATAGTATTTCAAGAAATACGCTTTCCAATCTTTAATTATGGGAATTCTAGTTCTTTAATTCAAAAACTACCTCTCATCCATATTGAAGCATGCCTATTTGAAATAACAAAACTCATTGAAAAAAAAATCAAAATAACAGAACCAAAGCAATCCAAATCCAATGACAAGAAACCAAAGTGGAAAACCTTATCCGAATAATCTGAACTCCGAAAGCTAGAAACTATAGATACCATGCTGTTGAAGTTGAATCAAGAACTCGTTTGGTTTCTCTTTGAAACCAAATACCCAAGGCTGAGACTTGATAAATGATGGGGGTACCACTATCAGATCGAAAATGATAGTGGTTGGAGAAGTTGAGTTTAGGTAGGAAAATAGGAAGAGAGTAGAAGACCGCAGGCCCCCCTGCACTCGTCCGCACCCTTCTCCGATTCATCCCCCTTCTTTTCCCTCCTTACCTCATTCTGATTGGCAGCTCCTCTCCTTTCTCCCCTTTTTCATTGGTCCCCTTTTCCACTTAAGATGGCCGGTCCTTTAATCCCAAAAGTGTTTGGGCCTTTTTATCTCTAAGTGGAAATTAAAATAATTATCACAATCTATAGTTTCACAACTTAAAACGTCTGTAACTACACCGTTATAATTCGGACTCTGAAACGGCTTTCGCCTATGCGCTCGTGGCTTCGAGACCTATTCGAAAGCGTTACTTGTGACCTCAAAAGGTCAACGAGTAAATAATAATTTTCCAAACTTCACTCTTCGTAACTAGTTTAATTGAAATCTAATTTCAAATAAACTAATATAAATTCTCGAAAAATAATATAAAATCTCGATAATACAAATATGTAGATTATAATAGTGAAATCCGAAAACGGGATTTCACATGTCATGTTACACTATGAACCTATAATATACAGATGTCTCAATATGTGGTTCAATATAAACATTTGGAGGTGGTAACATAGCTAGTTAGAGTAAGGTCTCTTCATAGTAGCTCAAAAAACAGAAAAATTCTTTAATGTAACTGTCACATCATCACGTGATATTATCAATTTACTTATATTATATAACACGTAAATTTTTTTACTAGTACTAACTTTAAGTAAATGACATATTAATTACATTATTCACGTATATTATAATACATAAATGAATAACACCTCATAATATTTCACCATTACCATATATTTTCTCCAATAAATGGGAGCAATGTGCTTTTTATTTATTTATTTATTTATTTTTGAAGATGAAGAAGAAGAAGAACAAGGGAGCAATATGCTTCTTAAATTCATTGTAATTGTGCTAAGAGTGCATCTTAATTCTTAAACTCATTATTTTCTCAAATAATGAAGCCAAAGCCCAATAAAATAAAGGCCTTGAAAGTTGGCAACCACCCATGTATGATCCCAACTCCCAAAATCAGGTCCGAATCCGACTTTAGGCCATGAAAGTCCAATGACAGATGGACAAAACTTTCCATGCATTCATCTATTTCGAAAGGAACTATGTAAGAGTTCGTAAATATTTATTTATATATTAAGATTTTAAGTTTGATTCAGTTGTTGTTGCATAATATAAAAATAAGAAATAGAAGAGAAATTCCAGAATGTGGATTCTCTTCGAATCTTCTTTACGAAGATTTTGATGATTTTCTAATCATATTTATTTATTGTATATTATGTGGTTAGAAATTATTGTAAATTTTTTATTTAAAATTGAATATAAACAATACTTGACGAAAAACTGATTACACAATGTACGATAAACATACATAATTAAAAAAATTTAAAATCTTCACAAAAAAGATCACGAGAGGATCCTCGTTCCTCTGGTAAAGACCTATAACTCATGATGTTAGATAAAATAAATATTTTATTTTATACACATATAATATTGCTTTGCATAAAACCAAATTGGATTGATGTGTTCTAGCCTTCTAGGGTACACTTTGAATACATCATTCCGAATAGACAGACAGTGACATAATAACTCTCACCATTTAATTATTAAGAAATTTTTGTGTATGACAATCATATAAAATGAACCATTCAACATACTAATAAATATTAGAGTTGTACTTACACTATACCAAATGGCACCGGCTTTGGAGAAGGATTCTTTACCATTTTAATCTTTTTATCTTTTAATGTTCTCTTATTTGAACGATCACGATTAAGTTACATCAATATTTTATATATTTTTTTTTATAAAGATAATAAGATAAAAAGTAATGTATGAGATGTGAGAATGAAAGGATCAGAATAGAAGAGTAGAGTATCATCCTCCACCAGCTTTAGGTTTGCTGTCTCCTTTTTATGTGTCTTGTTACTAATATTGTGACACGTGTTTTTTGATGCTATCCAATCAAAACCCATCAATTATCTTGTATGTATTAGTATACATGTAGCATGACCAGAGCCCAAAAAAAAAAAAATAAAATAAAAGTTCACCAAAAAAAAAGAAAAATGGAAATTAAATAGTCAACTAGCTTAGTGGTTCCACAGACGTGTCAGCTGCTAGAGTTCACAGACATATCTTCTTGGCATCTCTCCCTCTCGATGGACCTGATGACTTCCCACAAATATCTCTCTACTTTTTTTGTCTTTGGATTTCTTAGCTTGAACTTGCTTTAGTCACACTACTCTCTCTCTCTCTCTTTCTCTCCCCCCCTCTCCTTTCCCCTGTTGCGTTCCCTTCTCTCCAAAACCAAGAGGTATGCGATTCTTCCATATTCTTTTACTTTTCTCTCAGATTAATTTATAAATTTTTATTATTTTTGCTCATATTTTTAGTCTGCTGATCATTTGTTTGCATAATTCACTTGCCTGTTAACAATTTCAACCATCTGGGTTGGTGATCATTCTATTTTTCTTCGTAGCTGTTTTATTTCTTTGATTTGGTATTGACAATTCTGCTTAGCTGCTGAGAAAATATAGAAATTTTTACTCTTCTGCCAGTAGTATAACTTGCTTAAATTTCCTGGAAACTTGAACTGAATGGTTTGACTTCTCAGATTCAGCAATGGTTTTATTAGGGTTAGAATTTAATGTTAATACAGCATGGTATTATAACTTTTGATAACTCGAAGAACATCCTCAAAAGAAAAAGGAAATTTTTTAATAACTTGATGAAAAGTCATAATTAAGGTAAGGATTAGTAGTTTGATTAAAGAGAAGTGTTTTTAGCACCTCAAAAATATCATTTGCACTCCTTCCCTCTGTATTTTCTGTGCACTAGGTTGTAGTGCTTAATGGTATTTTACAAGGGCAAATAGCAGCTCCTTGATTATTATCCATAATTAGTATTTTTTTTAGGGTAATATGCCCGTTTTGCGGCCTGAATTTTCACCCTAGCGTTAAATTAGGGCTTGAACTTCGTTTTGGCCAATTCTGTACTTCTTCAAGGGAAATGATTTTCACACACCCCATGGCCAAAACATAAAGAAGAGTTTGTAGGGGGAGAAATGGATTGTGAAAATCATTTCCCTTTTTTTTGAAATAGTCCAATGTAGGGCGTACGACAACTTTTTTGGACGTCATCTATTATTCCATCCAAAATGTCATGTGCACAGGTTTCATCCATTGTTACTACCATATCTGTTTTCTTTCCGTTGGACTTGGCAGTGGTGTTTTAATCGAATTGTATGTTTTCCAGAAATCAGTCTGTTGAGAATGAAGGCTTCCAAGGGCAAAGGACCTGTGAAGAAGGACAAGAAAGAAGTATTAAAGCCTGTTGAGGACGTGTAATTTTCTTTGATCGAAATTCTCTATATGAACGACTTTCTCGAGTGAAACTTTAGATTAATAATTAGTGAGGCAGTGTCAGATGTGAGTCTTAAATAGCTTTCCTTGAAACGTAATATTATGTTTATGTTTAATTTTCTTCAATTCAGAAAGGTGGGAAAACGAAAGGCGGCGATTGAGGCTGACAAGAGCCGCCGAAAACTTGCGAAGAACGCAAAATTGGGCAAGAAGGACCCCAATAAACCAAAGAGACCTGCGAGCGCTTTCTTTGTTTTTCTGTAAGTACTCTCTTTATATGAGATGGGCGAGGGAAACATGTTAAGACTTTTAAATGAATCTTTAATAAGTTGTTTTTTAATTAATTAATGTAGAGAAGAGTTCAGGATGGTTTACAAGAAAGAGCATCCGAATGTGAAAGCTGTGTCAGCTGTAAGTAGCTACCATACTTTATGTTTCATTTAGTAGAGAGTGTTGTTTTTTTTTAGTTTGGTACGTATTTAATCTTTAGTTGGATATTGATGAGATTACTGGATGCTTGAATGAAGGTGGGGAAAGCTGGTGGAGAAAAGTGGAAATCTATGTCACCTGCGGTAAGTCTATACTGTATAGGTATACTGTATTATCCTCTGAAAGTAACAGTATTGGGATGTATGGAGGATGATATGATGTGCTCTCACTGGACCTAGCTATGCACAAAGCAATTTGATGGCTATGGAAATTTGTTGCGTGTCATAGCCATTGTCATTCGGGTAAATGGCTTCGTAGTTGTTGCCTGCCTGATGAACTTAAAGGGCAGAAGTGTCAAATGGTGAATTTTCATCTTCGATTGTGTACCAAAGTTGGTAATTTAGCACAATATTAAAATGGTCGGTGAGGAAAGGATATATAAGTTCTTAGTTTCTGTGAGCTTAATTCTCTTTGTGTAGATGCAGTCCAGGTCACAATTGCTTGGTCCCTTGCATTTATTGTCTAATTTCTATTTTACTGGGCCGGCATTGGTAGGAGAAAGCTCCATATGAAGCTAAAGCAGCAAAAAGGAAAACGGAGTATGAAAAACTTATGAAAGCTTACAACAACAAAGAGGTATAAATGGACTTGCACGTTAATAGAAACAAACCCTTCATCCTTTCTCAATCTTTAGTTTCTGACTGTCACGTCTTCTATCAGGATGAGACGGAGGATGACGAGGAAGAAGTTGCTGAAAAGTCAAAACCCATTGCGAAGGTTGTTGAAGAAGAGAGTGCTGAGGTAATCTTCGAAGCTATATATGAATCCTTGCATGGCTGCGCTGTGCTATTGCTTGCTTTGTTCAGTCTTTGATACTTTCATATCTTGCATGCGTTCTGATCTTTCATCTGGTGCTATCAAGATCTTATAATATCAGAAAGTTCAAGCATTTTATTATAAAAATGACGTGTAAAATCAACTGCAATTTCTGTTGTGAACCAGTAGTTCATGTTGCACTGAGTCAGATAGGTACAGTTTTTACCTGAACAAAAATGAATTGCTCCTACTTTTAATCGGGAAAAAAAAAACATTAATTGCTCCTACAGTCCTACTATATACTGTTACTAGATTGTCAAAATGGGATTCATGAGGTTCATCTTATATTTGGAAATCCTTTGCTCCCTTGTTCATACTTGACTAATTGGGATTGCTTTCGTCACGGGGGTTTCTCTGCTCATGTTAACATAAATTGGAATTTTCAAATTGCAGGAAGACGATGAAGAAGATGATGACGACGATGAAGACGAAGACTGATCTGGCGTGCCATGTTGATCCATAATCACTCCCACGGGATGGGACTTGTACTATGACACCTTTCACTTATGTTAAATATGCTTGTTTATTTGAGAGGGAAGCATCAAGCATGCCGAGCCCTTGCATCTTCTAAGTAGCCTTTCTGGGTTACATCCTCTATATGTACCTTGACCACCATTGTTGTATATATCGTGTTTAAACCGTGTTCATTGGCTGTGCAGGATATGATATCTTTGTTCATCTATTTACTAAATTAGAGATGAATGGGTTGATCTTTGATATGGAAGGTGGAAGCGATTAAGAATCGTTTTACAAGTCATCTACTTATTATTTATCAGCATTAGCTCTCTTTTCTCCAAATCGAGTAGCACACTTATTCCTGAAATGATTTCGTTTCAGTTGCCGAGTCATGTCATGGAGTCATAAGGGATGGCAATTTTACCTGGCAAAACCCTACTCCAGCCGGGCCTCAGACCGGGTACTTTTGCCGGGCCTTGGACTGGGGAGGTTTGGGGAGAAAAAACCAGGGAAGGTTTGGAGAGGAAAATACCACGGATGTGTGTTGACACGGGGAAATTTTATACCTTTCTGGTTTGATCAAAGTGTGGAACTTCCGATTTTGTATGGCGTGGGACGGAGGGAGGGTAAACCCGGCCTCCTGCTCTACTGCCATCATATCATGGGAGAAATTCTTGTGTCCATCTAGAGGACCAGCTCATCTGTATACTTAACACACAATCAAGTGCATCCCTAATATATGGGGTCTTACTTCGTTATGTGTCGAGGTATACGGATGACGTGATCCTTTAGAGGATATGGTTCTCAGCCTGGGCAGCTGAATGATGACATTTGATATGGAACATTTTCAAAAGGGAGGCCCAACCGAGGCAAAACGAAAACACAATGTAACCACCCAAAGAAAAGATAAAAACCAAATCCTGTGATAAGTATTTTGGGATTAGGGTTTATGTGAAATTATGAAAAAGCTAATGCTTTTAGAACAAATGAAAGGGCAAACCACTTTCCAAGTAATTATCTTTATCTACGCTGTGAGCTTTATACATAAGTCTGATCAAACAGATGGCTTATGCTGTAAAGAAAATAGATTAGACATTATAGTTACAGACTTACGGGGAAAAAAAAAAAAAAATCAAATGGTGATAAGAAAATCGATGAGAGAATTGCCATGATTTCACACCTATCGATGTCGGAAACATGTTGTGAGAAAGTGAGAAATGTGATGGTCACATGGTCGCCAGTAACAAAATGTAGCATGCCGCAGTGCATCATGATTAAATTCCATGATTTCATCATGTTTATTAGAAATAAATTCCATTTAAATGATCACATTCCATGCATAATCCTCAACACTAATCATGTTCAATGTCATTTCCCACCCAAAACCAAATTACTACATAGTTACCATACTTGTTTATGTCGGAATTTTGTCGCAGTGATTAGCGGCCGCACGTATACTGTTCCAATAAATTTTTTTTTTCTTTTATTGTAGCAAAAGCTAATTATAGGAGAGTTTTACATTTTTTTTTTCACCGACCACTCATCCTCATCATCAGTATCATGACATGTTAAAGATATTGAACGACAATATCTTGGAGTATCATTGAAGATTGTGTGTCTTCCTTAGTTATAGGAATAGCTTGATCCGTGTAAATCATGTATTGATATTCATAGTTGACTTCCGAGAATAGCCTCATGTATTATTGTATAAATCTTGTACTCCATGTAAAGTAGAATTTGTATGAAATCAAACTACCATTATTTTCTCCCTCACGTATCCTAAATCTTAGAAACATGAAACCCCAGCAGCTTCATATTTTTAACATGGTATCAGGGCCTCGTTTTTGGTGACTCTGAATACCCAATGCTTCCGCACCTTAACCAAACAATACTATCATCATCAGTGAATCAGCAACCAATCCAAAACCAACAGAGGTGGCTAGTGACATCTCGAACCCATTCATAGTACATCTATCTGATCAACCTGGGAACATTTTGGTCTCCAAAACTCTTCAAGAAGACAACTACAACACATGGAGCAGTGCTATGCGTATCAGTCTGAGTGCGAAGAACAAGTTAGGCTTGGTCGATGGAACCATTGACCCTCCTGTTGAAACAGACAAACAATTTGCATTGTGGCAACGATGCAATGACATGGTCCTTGCATGGATCCTGAACTCTGTGCATGAAGACATTGCAAGTAGCGTTTCTTACTACACATCAGCAGCAAATGTGTGGGCAAACCTATGTGATCGTTTTTCCAAGGAAATGATTCACGTGTTTATCAAATTAAGAGAGAAATTGTTGAGCACAGACAGGAGCAACAATTGGTCTTGATCTACTACACAAAGCTGAAGGCATTATAGGATGAATTGACATCCTACCATGAGCCTTCAACATGCACTTGTGAGGGCTTGAAGAAGATTAATGAACGAGATGAAAGGGAAAGGGTGATGCAGTTTCTCATGGGATTAAATGAATCCTATGCCGCGGTACATGGGCAAATCTTGTTGATGCAGCCACTCCTAGACACTCGGAAGGCATACTCTTTTGTTTTACAATAAGAGAAACAAGTGGAGGTATCTCTTACCCGCAATAATAACAACTTACATGCCATGAATGTGACAAGTAACAAGGAACCTGCTACACAACGAGGTAATCCATCCTTTAAATGCTCATATTATGATAAAAAAAATATCACACCATAGATCGGTGCTTCTATCTTTATGGCTTCCTGCTGAGGCACAAATATCATGGCAAGAAGGTAACACTTCCTAACAAGAGGAAACTTACGACCAACCAAGTGAAGACTGGCAATGAAGTCGCCAAAGACATTGATCAGCACCACAAAGGAACCACCAGTGACGGGCCTAAATTCACTGCTAAAGAGTACAATCAAATCATGGTAATGCTCAAGAAAAAACAATCATGACGGTAACCCACAACACTTTGCAAACGCCACAGGTACACTTACACCCTTGTCTAATATATAAGAAGTTTTACCACAGAAAACCCTCTATTGGATCATTGATAGTGGGGCAACGAACCACATCTCTCTTTCACCTCATTTACTTGACAAGAAAGCCTCATCCATGTTTGAGTTTGTACACATGCTGAATAGGGGCAAAGCCACCATAGACTCTATTGGTTCCATTCAAATCACTCCTCTTATTAAACTTGACGATGTGTTACATGTGCCTAACTTTCGAGTCTATTTGTTATCCGTTAGCAAACTCACCAAGTCTTTACAATGCATAGTGATTTTCTTTCCCACATTTTGTGTGATACAGAACATGGATACGAGGAGGACGATTGGCCTGGGCAAGCGATATAATGGGCTTTATTACTTGTCCCCGACACAAAATCCTCACCTTGCCCACAACATCAGCCATCATTCCAACCTTTGGCACCAACGCTTAGGACACCCTTCCACCAGCCCTCTACAAGTTTTGACCAAGCAAGTTCCAACTATTATGTTTGACTCGACTCATTCGTGTGACATTTACCCTCTTGCTAAGCAAACTCGTTTATCTTTTCCATCAAGTTTTATTTCATCTAAAGCACCTTTTGATTTAATACATTGTGATATTTGGGGACCCTATCGAGTCAATTCTCATTCAGGGGCTCGATATTTTTTTACCATTGTTGATGATTATTCTCGTTATACTTGGATTCACCTTATGTGTTTGAAGTCTGAAACACAAGGCTTTTTATGCTCTTTTATTGCTTGGGTTCAAACACAATTTAATTGCATGATCAAAACACTTAGGGCGGATAATAGGGCTGAATTCACTTCTTTACGATCATTCTTTGATAGCAAAGGTATCATGTTTCACACATCTTGTCCTTCAACTCCCCAACAAAATGGGGTAGTTGAAAGGAAACATCGCCATCTTTAAATGTTGGGAGAGCACTTCGATTTCAAGCCAATTTACCTTTAACTTTTTTGGGGGGGGGGGGGGGAGTATTCAAACCGCATGTTATTTAATTAATCGTTTACCCACATCACTCCTCCAACACAAAACTCCTTTCGAGCTTTTACATCATACCCCTCACAATCTTAACCACCTCCGAGTTTTTGGTTGCTTATGCTATGCCACAAATCTCACTCCCACACAAATTTGATCAATGTGCTAGGAAATGAATTTTTGTTGGATACCTTATTGGTCAAAAGGGCTACCATTTCTATGATCTCACTACCCACAAATTTTTCACTACTCGTGACGTTGTCTTTCATGAAGATCAATTTCCTTTTCTTTATCAACCACCAGATCACCAACTCGATAATGTTGTCCTACCTCTACCTCTTGATCCTTCCATTTCTATACCTTCAGAACTTATCCTTGATCTTCCCACTCCCACGCCCGTACCACCTCTCACAGACACATCTCCACACCCATCACCTTCCACAGACACACTTCCTACCGAGTTTACCCAACCACCTTTACTCGACCCTATTCCCTCAGCCTCTTCCCTTTACTACTCAACACTCCCACTGTCCTACTAAACCCTTTGTGCGAGTCCAAGGCTACCATTTATATCATGTCCAGTCACTTGCTCTTGGTGCTAACTCATCTTCCATGTCAGGTACTCGTTATCCTTTATCTCACTATGTTTCTTATGCTCATCTTTCTTCTTTCCATCGCTTTTTGCCTGTGCTATTTCCACCTTTGTCGAACCTACCACTTTTGAGCAGGCTAATAATGATCTTCAATGGTAAGCTGCCATGCAATCCAAACTCCTTGCTTTGGAACACAACAATACATGGACTCTGACTCGCCTCCCTCCCAGTCATTGGGTCATTGGTTGCAAATAGGTCTATAAAATCAAGTACAATTCAGATGGTTCTGTCGAACGTTATAAAGTTCGCCTTGTTGCTAAAGACTTTACCCAACGGGAAAGTATCGACTACAAAGAAACCTTCACCCCTATTACCAAACTCATTACAGTTCGTTGTCTTTTGGCCTTGGCTTATATTCGTCATTGGTTTCTCCACCAAATGGATGTCCAAAATGATTTCTTCCATGGGGACCTTGGGGAAGAGGTGTATATGCAGTTGCCTCCTGGTCTTCGTCGACAGGGGGAGCATAATGTATGCCGACTCAACAAGTCACTCTATGGGCTCAAATGAGCTTTTCGCAGCTGGTTTTCCAAATTTTCCACGACCATACATCAAGCTGGATATCAACAA